ATAAAAAAAAAAATTAAAACTTTAACCGATGTAAAATGAGCTTGTCAAAATCAGAGCGAGAGTCTATTATATTAAATGACGCAAGAGGAATACAACATCCTTTCTATTATGTAAGTCAGAGTAAAGATGGTAAAATATACGTAAGAAAAAGAAAGGTTCCATTAGCGAATGCAGAGAGCGACAACATTAAGGTGTATGGCACCGAGGGCGAAGCCCATATAAAACCTTCTATTCAAACTGAAAAGTCAATAGAACAAGAAGAAAAGAAGCCAGATGTTCTTTCAATAACGAACCAAGAGCTTATTGCAAAGTTCGTGAATTTCATTGAAAAACAAACCGAGTCAAAGAACCCTGACCCACCAGTGAAAGAAGTTGAGACAAAAGAGAATGTACAGTTCATTGAAAATGTCAAGAAACAACTTCCACCACGAATGCCAAGAAGAAGAGTGAGAATAATGAAGTAAATAGATATTTTTATCCGAAGTAAATACATGCAGAACGAACAGTTAAACGAATTTACTCCAGCAGAGCATATTCATCAGATTCGCTCATATTTCGATATCATAGACAATGCAGTTCAAATTGGTGACACTAATAGAAAATATTCTGACGCAAAGATTCCATCACAACCTGGAACTGCTAAAGATAACACATGGGTAACATTCAATCTCTCACCTCCTGGTGAAAATATGTTGGACCTTTACAATACATTCATTACGTATAAAATGGAAGGTCAATTTATTGCAGATAAAGAAATTGGTTCAGGTTCCAATAAAACAAACCCACCAGGATTTTGGATTGGTTTCGATGACGCTTTCTATGCAGTTGCTGGATATCAAATCCTTGCAAATGGTCGTATCGTATATTCTCAAGACAACGCAAGAGAAGAAGCATATATAACTTCAAACTCACAAACTACCGAACAAATAAAGAAAGTAGATGTTTTCTCAAAGACTCGACATGAAGATGTATGGAGTCATTCGGGAACATGCAGAACAGGACAAATTGTTAGTGGTCCAATTACAGCAGGAAAATCATTTGATTTTAAGCTTCGTTTAAGTATAGATCCAAGGTGATGTGATTTTTGCATCCCTGGGATGGACGATACACCCAAAGTGTCACCTTTTTTGGGATAACATGAATTTTAAATATCATGAGAGTTCTGCAAACCATATGCACAATATCTATTCAGCCTGACTTCTTGTATATATGAGTTAGACTTCTTAAATATTGTGCTTGGGGCGATATAAGTATTTCCGAGATTACCATCGTGCTCTATAGTATGCTACTTCTCCCTGGTTCTAGCTCAGTTCCAAGGATATTGGCGTTCAAGGATTTGGCAAGGTCCTTCCGAAGTCTCTCATTCGATGAGAGATTTCGGAAGAATCTTGCCTTAAAGTACTCCAACTCTTGTTCTTTTGTTCCTAAATAGTGAGAAAAGTTATTTGACTACTTAAGGTAGAGATTATCCGAGGTCCCTCATTTGATGAGAGGCCTCGGATAATCTCTGCTTTAAAATTGTACACTTGTAGTCCATGAGAGTGTAAGTATACATTGATAGGACAGCTTTCTTCTGAAGTCTTAGATTTGATGAGAACCTCAGAAGAAAACTGTCATATTTTATAGTAAAAGGAGTTTCAGGAGCTCCAAAGCTCCCTTTCGTAAGGATTAGGAGCTTTGGAGCTCCTGGTTCGTAGATGTGTTTCGCATCTTTCATCAGCAAAGGACATTTACCATCTGGGACTCTGTTGATGGAGACTCAGGAGCTCCAAAGCTCCCTTTAGTAAGGATTAGAAGCTTTTGAAGCTCCTGTTTCGTAGACGTGTTTCGCATCTTTCATCAGAAGAGGCCCAAATGGTAAATAGCCTCTGCTGATGAGCTTCAGGAGCTCCAAGACTCCTCTCGTAACGATTAGGAGCTTTGTAGCTCCTGAAGGTAAGGTAGGATTGCTCTGATCTCTAATCAGTAGATGCCATGCCTCATTATGAACTCTACTGACAAGAGATCAAGAGCTCCAAGGACTCCTTTTTTAGTTAGTGGCGTTCTCACCATTTAGTAGGATTGCTGATCCTACTAATGAAGTGATCACTTAGTATACGTTTTGAATAAATTGAATTTTTTTTAGAATTTAGTATTTTTTATAGACATCACATGTATATTATAAATACATAAATATATTCTTTAATTCAAAAAATTCAATTCGGTTTTGGGATGGGCATCCCAGCCCCAAGTATTCAATTTTATTCAATTTTTAAAGAATTTTGGGTTGGGATGCCCAGACCAAAACAAGCTTTATATTTTGATGTGTAGATACGTATGTGTGCATCATTGTTGTGTTATATATTATGTTTTTAATGAAAAAAAATCTGATTCAAAAAAAATTATCACTAATTAGTTGATAATATAAAGAAAAAATAGATAAATTGTATGTTTTGAGAGTATTTATCCACATTCACTCATATGAATTTCATTAAATAGTGTCTTTTTACTCCCAAATTTATTTTGAATTATTGAAATCAAAGAAAAAAAATCAGAAAAATTTCTCGAAATTTTTATTTTCAAAAAAAATTTGGATTTTATATTGAAAACTGACACTGGGAGGACGATAGGGCTGGGATTGGAGATACCCCGCTCACTTGGGAAAAATACGGATCTATAGTTTAAGAATTCCTGTTAGAAAGTTTTTACCATTAGAAGCTATAAGATTTATTCCTGCATTTGCTAGTAACATTCAGCTTAAAGTAAAGTTCAGTAGCGACGCATTACAATGCACATCTATATCTGTAAATGATATCATTGCTTTCAATCCAACTCTTAAAGTTGCATTTGCTTCAGATTCAAATCCACCGACAAATAAATTTGTTCCATGGAATGAACCATTCACTATGATAACGAAGGCAATAGAAGCTAGTGGAACAGTTACTATTACAACTGTAACCCAGCAACTATTTCGAACAAAGATGGATTTTAATGAATGTTTCATTCATCCAAAGTCATTCTCTTTAGACCCTAACATTTATACAGAACTTGTAGAACATTATACAAACGAGGCTTTATGTTTTCCTGTTAAAGTTATGGATTGGATTCCTATGGACGGTTCATTCTCAAAGAATACAGATAGTTCAAGTGCAACATTTACAGCAGCTTATACGCCTATTAATGTTAAAAGTATTTGGGCACTATTTAGAAAGAAAGACAACTATTATGTTAATTTTGAGAACCCTAAGTTTAAATATCTTCAGCTTTCCATGGGAGCTTATGGAAATATGCCTGCAGAACCTGAAAAATCATATGGACCTGTATTTTATGAAATGGTTGCGAACGCTTGCAATACAAACAATGATATGATTGGATTTAATGAAGATGTTATGAGGTCATTGGTGGATGATGGTAGTGTGGAATATAAATGGGATAGCTATGACAACACACATTTCTTATGTGGTTTTCCAACTGAAGTGGACTTTTGCTTCCAGCAAGGTCAAACATCTACTGCTCCAATAACATACAAATTGTCTGTTAAAGGACCTATTGAACTAGCAACTGAAAACGTACCAAAGCCACTTATTGGATTTATGAGGGATTGTTGCTTTGCAATACAAGTAAGACAGTCAGGCATACCAATAATAAGACTTGACGACTATAACTTAGCAACTGACGACGGTGAGGAATAAAGGATGAACGTTTATTTTTAAAGCTTATAAATGAGTTCTTCATCAAGCTCTCGTGAACCTTCACCATCTATGAAACAAACTTTACCAAACGATTATGGAGCACCTATTGAATATTTCTTACGAGCTGCACAATGGCAAAGAGCAGTCTCACCAAGGTTAGGTGTTCCACCAGCTCCTGTCAAAAATAGCATTTGGTCAAGTCCTTATATAAAATATGGTCTCCCACTAGGTTTGCTAGCTACAGCAGGAGCAGTTATGATGTTGAAAAGAAATAAAGCAAATGTTGTAAATAATACTGAAGTAGCTGAAGTTAAACAAACTCCAACACCTTCGCCAAAACCAACGCCTTCACAAGCAAAACCTTCAATGACTCCTGAACCTATGGAAGTACAAACTCCTGTTCAAAAGTCAACTCCTAAACCGACTCCAACATTTAAACCAGAACCTACTCCTCAAATAAATCGTAAAACTCCTGCGTTTCCTTACTGAAAAAATAACGTTATTTTTATTTAATATTAAAATTTTTATTTGATTGAAATGACAAATAAAGTCACTGAAGCAATGAAACAAAAGTTTTTTGGTAGAATACATTAAATCAGGAACTATTCCAGAAGGTTTTTACATTCATACTATGAAGGATGGTAGAGTTCAGTTTAGAAAGATAAAGCAACCATTAGATAAAGAAGGAATTTTGAGAAAGATTAAACTTCATGAGGACAACATTGCTGAACTTAAGAAGAAGTTAGAAGAGTTGGAGAAAGCAGACGACAGTGAGTTATAAAGCAATGAATTCAACAGGGTAGAAATGAGGTTAGAAATCGGGTTAGAAATCGGGTTAGATCTCACCACTTCACCTAAATTTATTTTTGTGCTATGTTTTCATACGTGTGAGGGTGGTGATATCATTAATTTTTTATTTTATTTTTTAAAATTATTTTTATTTTATTTGGATGTAATGACAGAACAAAAGCAACTCATACAAATCAAAACATATAACAAACATACATTTAAACATTTATTCTTCCTTCCTGAGCATAACATGTTCTTTCAAATACATCCGAGACCAGTTGACTTTTCATTGACTGTGTATAAAGATAGAAATAGTTATATCATTAAACCATACGATGACGAAGGTAAGTTATGTAAATTGTACGTTAAGAAGTTAGAGAAAGTTTATGGCTTCAAGTATGACTACAATAGGGTTAACACTGATGATGAAGATATTGAGGAAAATTTATGAGAACATTAGTGAAGTTGTTAGTGAGAACGATAGTGAGGTGAAATTGTTGGCGGCTTTGTAAATATTTAAGGTTAAGTTAGTTTTTGCGTTCATGTTGTAAAATATACGTTAACGGTTTTGTAAAGTGTCAAATTCACAAGTATTGGGTAAGGTGGAACGCAGTGCCACCATACCCAAGACTTGTATACTAACTGTCGTTTCATATCGTAAACTCCTGAGTATTGACGTAAGTGGTGTTTGTCAATAATTCTTTCCATCTCCTCAGAAGTCTTTTGCATTCCTGACTGTATAAATTCAACGATGGCATAATATTTCCTCTTACGTCGAATGTAACGTTGAAGAAATTCAATGAGTTCACTGTCTGGAACTTTAACGACAGAGGCTTGAACTTTTGACATAAATGTTTTCGCTGTTGAGTCCATAGAGTCTGAAGTTGCTGATATAATGATTTGGTCATAGTAAGAGTCGTTTCCTAAACGCTCTGTTATGAGTATATGACGAATGAGGTTAAATGTCTTACCTGAACCCATCTTTCCACAATAGAAATAAACACCATTTGAACAGAACTCATAGTCCTTACTGAAAGGAAGAATGAGAGAACTGTTGAGCTTTTCACTGCTTTCATTCATGTCTTCATCTACGTCATGTATTAAATGCTTCATTTTATCTCCATTAAAAATGCAAGTCAGAAATATTCAGAACATAGCACCGAGTCTAACTGACAAGAGTATAAAGATATACTATGAACATGTTATGATGAAACCAACCAAAATTCAAGAAAGTCAGTATACTTATGAATATCCAAGACATTGGGTAGAGTATGTAGGAGGTGAGAAAGCTATTGAAATCAGACAGGTTCGAAGTATTCCAGCAGGAAGAACAATATTATTGAAGAACTTTAATGTTTTGAGATATAATGATGAAACAAAGAAGCAGATAGTTTCCCTGTTGCTGTGTATGTGAACTTAGATACAGGAGATGACATGAAAGTTTTTAATACAAAGCTTCAAACGGTAGTGAGAGAACAACTGACTGCGGAAGGACATCCATTACCTTCAGAAGTTACCATAGCATATAATTTTGAAACAAACTCAATAGATTTTAAAGTCGTCTCTGCAAAGAAGTCAGGTTTTACATTTAATGAAGCAGATGTATATTCGAATGAAAACTTCAAAGCTATTGCATGGTTAGATAATGACGATTGCTTTAAGAAAATATTTAAATACAGTGACTCAACGATGTCAATAGATGACCTTCGTGGAATGTTACCATCGACGTTTACAGTGAAGGTTCAGCAGGATTGCTTACAAGATTGTCAATTGGTGGTATTTGGTCTCGTGAGAACATTGTTATAAAATCCAGTATAAGTGAATTTGCTGAAGAATCTATATTATGTCTTTCAAACTACATGTATTCGCCGCCGAAGCATTATAGTATAACAAACTTTGTCAGTAAGTTTAACATAAGACTTGTCGAACCTTCTTCAATGAAAGATGTTGTGCTACCTAAAGACGGAAAGGATGGACTCATTATTGAGATGATTTTAATAGCATATTAAATGAGTTTGTTTTTGAAGGTCATTCATGATGAAATAACCGTTGTAGAAGATGTTAGCAATTGTTCAGACATTTTGAAGCGTATAGATGATATAAGAAATAAGTTAGATAGACCGCAAAGCGGTGAGGGCGAAGCCCGTGAGAACGCTTATGTTTCATTGACTTTCTCCAGTAACGAGAACTTTTATGAGATAATATTGAGAGAGATGATTTTAATATGGTGTAAATGGTAGCTTGGGCAGCTTTAGGCGCAATGGGAACAAAAGCATTAGCATTTGGAGCAAAAGCACTTGGAGCTTATGACGCAGTAAAAAATGAGTGGAGGAAGGGTTTCGAAGACATTAGATGCAAATAAAGGGAAGATTGGAGGCTGGGTTGCAAAGAAGTTAAGATTAATAAAATAGGGCTCATAAATAAAGCATCCAATTTGGTTGCGACTGAGTCAGAAAATGCTTTAGGAAAGGACGATGAGTTTGCAAAACACGCAAAAGACTTTAATGACCAGATGAAAGGTGAAACAATGCATTTAAATAGAGTCGATGGAACTAGAGAAAATGTTTCTTCTCCACTAGTAGTTCTTCCGTATGGTCCCTATGGAATGTATGGAAACCCTTATGAACGACCATTTGACCCATTGACTGGTGGAAGTAACTGGTATCATTACGGCCGAAGAAGAAAGACAGTCAAGCTGGAGACAGACGTGAAGAAAGCAACTAAAAAGAAACCAAGGAAGAGAGTTATAAAGCAATGAATTCAACAGGGTGAAAAAACAGGTGAAAAAAGAGGTGAGATCTCACCACTTCACCTAAATTTATTTTTGTGCTATGTTTTCATACGTGTGAGGGTGGTGATATCATTAATTTTTAAGTTTATTTTTTATTTTACTGAAAATTTTATTTGGATGTAAATGACAGAACAAAAGCAACTCATTCGAATTCCACAGTATAACAAACATACATTTAAACATTTATTCTTCCTTCCTGAGCATAACATGTTCTTTCAAATACATCCGAGACCAGTTGACTTTTCATTGACTGTGTATAAAGATAGAAATAGTTATATCATTAAACCATACGATGACGAAGGTAAGTTATGTAAATTGTACGTTAAGAAGTTAGAGAAAGTTTATGGCTTCAAGTATGACTACAATAGGGTTAACACTGATGATGAAGATATTGAGGAAAATTTATGAGAACATTAGTGAAGTCGTTAGTGAGAACGATAGTGAGAACGATAGTGAGAACGATAGTGAGAACGTTTATTTTTACATTAGTGAGTTCGTTAGTGAAGTGGTTGGCGGCTTTGTAAAGTGTCAAATTCACAAGTATTGGGTAAGGTGGAACGCAGTGCCGCCGTACCCATGACTTGTATACTACATGAAAGCGTGCATGCATAAAGACAGGTATTGTCAGCAATGACTACCTGCCCAGCTATGAGTGATCAGAGAATTACCATCTCAGGCTTTTTGAGAACGTTTCAGCCAGGACCCTCGTATGTTGACTGTGAGAAAGGCATCCTTTATCTGAAATAGATGCTTTTCCAACAATCAAATTCGAAGATCTTCGACGTTGTTGTAAAAAGAGAAGGAGAAGGAAAGAAGAGGAAGGAGAGGAAGAAGGAAAGGAAAAGAAGAAGAAGAAAAAAGAAAAAAAAAGAAGGACATATTAAATATAATGCGCACTTAATAGTGCCGAGGCGGCGGAGCCGCCGAGGCGCGATTTTTTTGACCCTATATTACCGCACGGCAATGTTTTTCTCGATTTTGTACAGCCCTAATTACAAGTTATATACTTTAGTAAAATCATGTATATATTTATTCGTTAATTTTATTCTTTTCATTCGTTAAAAACAACTTTGATAAATATGCCAATATTCATATATGCCACATTGAATGATAATTATTTATTCTAAAGAGTGGGGGACAAACTCGCCCATTGTCACTTTTCATTAACCTTAAACTTGTAATTTTCATTATTTTTAATTAACCTTATTTCTTTCCCAATTCCTGATTTATTTTATTCACTTACTATTAAAAGTCACATTTTAATAAAATATAATAATTTATTTATAGCATTTTTTACTATACTGTAATAAAAAATTAATTATAATAAATTAAATGTTTATTAAATCAAATGTTTTCTTTGCAATAATATTTTTAATGTTGAGTAAACAATGTTGGGATCAAGTGTATCATTTTTCAGACCTTTCTGAACAGCTTCAAGCATACTGATGCATTCGACTTTTTTAAATTGTGTCATTTCTTCGAAATCTCTTGTGACTTTTTTGATAACTTTAACACTTCTCTCTGAATCCAGACCTTTAATTTGCAACTTAATCAGGAATGAAGGAACAACACTGGAATATAACTCGATGACAAGTTCATCGAGTCGAAGATTTGGTTGTACACCACTTGTATGTGCCGGATACCATTGTGTCAAATTTTTTCGGAAATTAACTTTAAAAGTACTAAGTAAGATCATGAGATATAGCAATATATGTTTAAACTAACTTATATTTTGGTTGTACACCACTTGTATGTGCCGGATACCATTGTGTCAAATTTTTTCTGAAATTAACTTTAAAAGTACTAAGTAAGATCATGAGATATAGCAATATATGTTTAAACCAACTTATATTTTGGTTGTACACCACTTGTATGTGCCGGATACCATTGTGTCAAATTTTTTCTGAAATTAGCTTTAAAAGTACTAAGTAAGATCATGAGATATAGCAATATATGTTTAAACCAACTTATATTTTGGTTGTACACCACTTGTATGTGTCGGATACCATTGTGTCAAATTTTTTCTGAAATTAGCTTTAAAAGTACTAAGTAAGATCATGAGATATAGCAATATATGTTTAAACCAACTTATATTTTGGTTGTACACCACTTGTATGTGTCGGATACCATTGTGTCAAATTTTTTCTGAAATTAGCTTTAAAAGTACTAAGTAAGATCATTTATTTTTGCATAATATAATGCCAATATGGTTTCTTTTGATTTTATTTCATTTATAAGCAAATCAGATTTACCCAAAAACTCCACTCCATAAGCGTTCATTTGCTAAATTAAAAAGTGACAATTAATTTACAATTTTTCTAAAAACAACATATTTTTGCATATCTTAAGTGAAAATCTTATTCACTTATTTTAACATTAATATTAATCCAATAAATAAGCATCAATCATGATTTTATTTAATAATCGATTATTTTTTTCATCCATTTCAACTTCTATTCATAAGAAGCAATAACCTTTTTAATTCCTAAAACAAATAATAATGGGTGATCATGTTTTCACAAATATGGATAATCGGCTATTTAGATTTATCGGATCTCCTATCAAAAATCTACCATATAGTCCGTAAAATGTCACTTTTTAAAATTTTTGGTCTTAGGATCCGACAGTTCTAATTTTAGCGTATCATCAATATTTAGCAAAAATTTGTCCGAAAGATATCTGCGTTAAGTTTATCTCACAAAATTGAGGCCTGCGTTAGGTTTTCCCTTCAAAAATCATAGCTCTCACAATTTAGGTACTCAAAAACTTTGTCAGAAAATAGTTTCATTTTTTTGATAACATCATCAAGACAATGAACGGATCACCAGCCTATGTCGAGGATTCCCGCTACCACATCTCCCCACGCAGCTTACCAAAGCAGAAGTTTACCAAGGAAGACGATGTGAGATTGATTGCAATCGTAAATCGTCTTGGCACAAAATCATGGTCAGAAATTGCAAATGAAATGGGTGATAGAAATCAACGCCAGTGCAAAGAGCGCTGGGAGAACTATCTTTCACCAGACATCAACAGAAATGAGTGGACTCCAGAAGAAGATGCTTTACTTATTGAGAAGCAAAAGGAAATTGGCTCAAGATGGATTTCAATTGCACGCTTCTTTGACCGCAGGACAGATGCTGCAGTCAAGAACCGTTGGCAGATGCTTGATAGAAAGCAACGTAAGCTTGAGAAGAAGGGTCTTCATACTCAGAAAAAGCAGAAAGCTGTTATTGAGAGCCCAATAATGTCAACTCCTACAACAACTCCAATTATGACTCCTCTTGAATCTGTTGCTGTTCAACCAGTTCAACAGACAATCATTGATGAATTCCCAGTTTCATTTGATTTATTAAATTTTTCTTCCAATGACCAATTGCCTGTCATTCAAAATGAAATCCCCGAGCTTGACAGCTTTGGAACAGCTGAAGACCCATGGGATTTTGCTTCTCTTGAAGAAGTTTTCTAATTTATTTGATCAAAAGCTAAAAATTGTTTGTTCTATCATTAATTTTGAAATGATTTTTTATTTATTATGATTTATGATGGTAATCGATTAGTCATTTACAATCACCTTTAACCATTTAACATTTGGTGCAATCAAAACTATAGGTTACTTATGAAAAATTATTGCATATTTAAGCGATAAAAACAAAACTGAACAAAAATGATAGAGAAAGAGCAAAATTACAATTAAAAACAAACACATTTATTATTTTATGGAATGAAAAGATAGGTTTTCGATCAATATTATTATAAAAATGCGATCAGTCTCATTGGGATGGCTGAAGTCTATTATTGACTAATTTTATATGCTCTGATATCACTGCGCTCATATGGATATCATTTTTATACTTCGAAGATAAGAACTCTAAAATTTTCGAAATCTTCTTGAGTTCTGCTTCATTCTTTGTTGCAATCACTTGTTTAGGAATAAAAGATAAAAATGATTCTCTAAATTTTGATCTAAATATGATCGATTTCTTCCATTCTTGGAAAAAGTTCATTTTCTGCAATAAATCAAAATTTTCTGTTGTCATTTTGAGGTGTTGTATAATTTCATTAATTTGCTGAGCAGAAAGTGGATATTCAAGGATATCAGAATAAGGATCAACTTCAATTCGTTTATTGAACTGCAATTCGATTCTATAAAACAATTTTGCCGTTTTCTTTTGCAAAATTGCCCTCAATTCTGGCGATGGATTATAATTTCTTGCTGGCAATTTAATAATAGTTTTGAATTGCTGACATCTATCGGCTGCTAATGCATTGGTTGTAGCAACAATCTTCCACTTTGTTGATCCGTTGATAATGTCTAGAAATCTTGGATCTCCTAATCCAGTATAAATGTTAATCATTTCAATATATTTGTAAGGAGCAATAAGTGAGAGAACAGAATATGCGGCTTGAGATGCTTGTTCAGGAGTATTTCCGATCAGTAAGATTCCTTTGCCTGTTACCAAAGAGTTCCAAAGATCATCAATTTTGGCTTCATCATTAACAAAAACTGATGGATCGTAAGCCATGAAATGAGTTAAATTTACGTCCAGAGGATATATACGTTCGGCTGATAAAAATGGCGCAATAACGTTTGGTGAATTTGGATCAGATCTCCATTTCTTAAGTACTTCGTACATTTTATTAACTCTTGCTTCTGGAATTTCTTTTTTAAGTAGTTTAATTGCATCTTTTAAGAAGTCGAAAAATATTACTGCGTAAGGATAACGAGTTCCGATACAAATTGAGTATAGTTCGTTTTCATACGTAAAAACCCAGCAAAATCCGAATAAAACTTTTATTGAAAATGAATAAATTGTATTATTTGTATTGATTTCTGGAAAAGTTATTGATAAGAGTTGCTTTTTCTTGGTAAATAGCGTAAAACTTTCCGGTAAATTCACTAAAAGACAAGGTCCTTCAGGTCTCGTAAATTTTTGCAAAGTTATTCCTTCAACCAAAGTTGACATTTGATTCTATTTTATTCAATCCATGTTAATAAAACAAAAAAGGTACCTATAGTGCTTTCACATTCATAAATATGGCGCTCCAATATCAACACTAAAGAATAATTTCGAATATTATTAACCAAATAAGACATTACACATATCTAATTTATATTAATTGAAGGAGGATAAGATGTTTTCCCAATAATTTTGTCACTTATCAGTTAATATTTTTTATGAAATTAATTTTCCATAATATTAGTATAAAAAAACTTATCCATTAATACAAAATACTTTATAGCATAAAATATACAATATAATTAAATTTATTATTTCTTGAAGAACTTGAGAAGACTTCCAAGAGCTTGTCCAATATCAGGAGCAGATCCATCACCAGATCCACCCATCTGGAAAGGAAGTGGAAAATCGTCAGTATTTTCTTTTCCTCTTACTGGCTTTCCTTTTCCAGTTGAAACAGGCTTTCCGTGGTACTGCAATTCGCCCATATCTTCCCAATCATCCTCATCGAACGACGGCGGAAGCTGCATCAGCTGATTTGCGATCAGATCAAAATTCGATCCCAAAAGTCTAATCATCGGATCTCTATCATATCTAATCAAGTACCTCAAAACTTCATTGTTCTTTTTCGACAATGCTAGCTCTTTGATTGTGATGCCGCCTTCATATGCGACATTTACATTCAAACCATATTTAATAAGGAAACAAATGATTTTCGTGCTGATATCACTCATGTTTTCTTCGCTCGTGAAGAGATGAGGAATAACTAGAGAGTTCAAACTGTTGACATCGATGCCGGCCTTCAACAGAGTCTTTACACTGCCAAGAGCCCCTTGTGTGCAGGCCATTCCCAAGGCATTCAGTCCCTGGCTATGTTTGACATTGATATCACAACCATTATCAATAAGAACTTTCAAAGAGTTGAAGGAATTTGTAGAACTTGCAAGGTGAACTGGTGAAAATCCACCAGCGCATTTCACATCCAATCTTGCGCCTCTTCTTATCAACACCTTGAGAACATCGCTGCAATCGAATCTGCAGCATCTCAAGAGAGGTGTATCCTTTTCTGTTTTAGTTACAAATTCGATATTTGCTCCGTAATCCAAGAGAATATTTACTGCTTCACAAAGATTCATTTCTACAGATGCCATCAAAGCATTTACTTCTCCTATTCCTGTGTAATCAATGTTACATGGCTTGATTTGCAGCATTTTCTTTAACAAATCGTATTTCTCGTATGTAACAATGATGTTCAAAGGAGGAGCCAACAAAGTCTGCCTCTGATTCATATCAACATTGTTGCCTGCAAGTAATTCAACGATATTGAAATTTTGCGAAGTTGCTGCCATGTACAAAATATTCATTCCATTTCCTAAATCGCAGTTGATGTTTGCACCTCTTTCAATGAGAATCTTTGCCATATCATAATCACCGTACTTGCAGCAAACGCCTAAAGGAGTCATTCCTGTTCTGTCAGCGCAGTTAACATTCGCTTTCCTCAAAATCATTTCGACAGCGAGATCGAAGTGTCCTTTGTACAAAGCTTGAATCAAAGGATATTTCTTATCTTTGTCAGCTTTGTTGAATTCGGCACCATACTCTACAAGTCTTATTGCTGTGTCTTCATCGTTGTTGTCTATAGATTGCATCAAAAGCGTCAATCCATTTGCCCATTTTTCATTTGGATCCATCTCCCCTTTCATCAGGAGTAAATGGACGATTGACGGCTGTTTGTATTCCACGGCAACACGGAGTAACGATCTCTTGTTTTTGTCTTTGATCTTGATATTCTCTTTTTTGTCAAGTAAATAGTTTACAATGTCAAATTTTCCATATTTTACAGCGTAGAAAATTGGAGTCCAGTTTTCAACAGAGTCGACGACATCGTAAGGCAAATGCTCCTTCTTGTAGAAGTACTTGACAACGTCTAATGTCCCAAAACACGAATAATGCTGTATTGTCAAACCGTCTTTATCTGTCACGTTTATTTCTGCACCGCATTTTATTAGGCAGATTACTGTATCCAGGAAACCGCTGACAACAGCGTCGACGAGAGGGAGTGAGCCGTTCGGAGGCAAAAGATTTGGCTTCGCTTCGAAATCAATGAAGGTTTTTACCAAAAAAGTGACACCAAATCTAGCCAATGCGTTTAGAACTGTGTTTGACTCTTTGTCGACGAAGTTGACGTTGTTCTTGCGGTTGATCTTGTCAAACATCAGGTTGAAGTCATACAATCTGGCGCAATCGTGGAACATTGGCGCAATTTTCTTCGTATCACGTATCCATGTCGCCAACTTCATGTTGTGTGTTAGTATGCAAGTGTCGATGGTGCTGTTCGTCATCTGGACTTTGGTTAAAATTTTTTCGATTAGTTGAGTATTATCTGAAAATAAGGAATATCTGAGCGTATTGTTGGTGATTTTGGCACCTTTGGATAGTAAATAGTCAAAACATTTCAAGCTGTTATGCTTTGCTGAAAAATCTAAAAATGAAATGTCATCTTCAATGAAACTATTTGGATCTGACCTGCTAAGTGTAAGAGATTGAACTAGTTCGTCAAGATTATCAAATACTAATGCATGAATAATTGTTCCTTCTTTGATTGGATTTAATAAATCTGGAAGTGTCATCTCTTCGAATTGTTCAGGTATTATATCGACAATAACATTCATAAGTATAAGTGCTGAACGTAGTCTTGGTCTGAAAATAAAATGACAATTCTCATATTCTAAATTGTAATTCATAAATAAAGATTCTTCGTATTTGCATATAGTTTCTATGAGTCTGACATCGATCATATATAATAAATTTCCTATTTCTGCAAAGTGGTACGCGTCTAGATAATTATGGTCAATGCAATATTTGACTTTTTCAAATATTTCTCCAAGGCTTTCTTCTTTCATGGACCATAGAAGATCTATGGTATCAAATAGTTCCTTGACATTGGGATTAATTGGAAAGTGAGTGCTCATGAAAAAATTTTTATAGAAATGGAAAAATAGAAAATCAATAAAGTATGCAAAGTTTTCCACTGAAAAAATTTTAGCCCAAGAACATTTGAAAGGGATTCCTTTGAAAAAAAATTCCTTGGGATTTTTAGAATACGGTAGAAGTAACTGAAAATAATTTAGCATCTTCATTTAATTTAATAAGCAACTGCCAATCACCATTTCTTATGTAAAGATAAATTCTCAGACATACGATTATTTTTGATTCAAATGCTGTTCGGCATTAAAAGCAAAAATAATCATATATCTGAGAATTACACTTTTCCGACATTTTTTGGGTCGCTTCGCGCCCCTGACAAAACATCGGAAAAGTGTAAATTTTTAAAGGTTTATATGGTTAGTATAATAAAAATATGATTGAATGCTTCATTTAGGTGGGAATAAAAGGAAAACAAAGAAGCACGCAAAGTTATTTAAGAAATAATAAGACTGAATCGAAGGACAGTAGATCATATCGTACGTTGCTGGAACCATAGCCCACAATCTAACATGTTTAGTTAATTGGTCGTTGTCGTTCGTGGGAAGGCCTCTTTCAATATATCGATCATGCGCTGTACAATATAAACCAATGGCATAATAGTAAGTATCTCGCCCTGGATGACCATCTATTAATGTTGTCACCCTACCATCATTTTTTAGTGTGTTTTTTACAAGTCCTCCCCATTCATTGGAGGGAATTTCAGTTAAATTCGCCTTAAAATCGACTGCTATGTAATTTCTTGGTTTTTCTATATCATCAAGAGGTGAGTAGAGTTGCTGAAATACGTTAATCTTTTCGAGAAGTGGATAATCAAGAATAAAATGGCGAAGGTTGTCTTCCATAATATATGTACTGGAACTGAGATCATCCAAAATGGAAAACATACCTTTAGAGTTGTTGTGCCGGGCATCATTCTCACTATCAAAGCATTTCCCATAATTTTGATCATGATCGAAGACTAACTTATATACTTTCCTATCGTATATGCTGTATATGAAATTCCTCCCATGTATCGGAATTAATTTCACTTAAAGTTATAAATTGTTTTGAAAAATGACAATGCACTTTTTTTGATATTGAATGGTTTACTTCTATTAAAAATTTGAATGTTCTGATCCCGACATTTTTTTAGGGTTGTTAAAAATATCAAAAATTAGCGTTTTGAAGACACCATGGTGTCTTATAATTTTCCCTTCCTTATTGGCGTGTAGAAATAAATGCGCCAATAGATTGAAGAAGAAGAATTGTTTTTCTCTTAATGAACTTTAATCCTTTTGATATAAGAATATTAAAAACATTAATATAATTTCGATTTCGGAAATTAAATTTCCAAATTTTTTGTCGATTTCGGAAATAACAGGATCCCGCATCCAACACGCAACAACAAAACACAAAACACACGTTTTGGTTCTTTCATCGTTTTAATCGTAATTTATGTAATACATGATTTGGATAAATTTTACAAAAATAGAACCTATATTATATTCTTTTCAAAGATTCTTGCAAATCATCAAAAATAATTGTATTTTAAAAAACGATCAAATTATCCTTTCATTATTTTAAACTTAAATTAGTTTTTATGATTGACTAAAGCAATCATATTTATTCATCATTAAATAAACAAAAAATAATATTTGAGAGTTATTTCAAAAAAAACACATTGAATTTATTAATTTGTCTCAATTTCAGTATTATAAATTTTTATAATTTCAATATTTTGAAATACACTTTTTAATATTTCAATATTTATGATATTTCAATGTATTAAGTGGTCTCAAATTGAGCTTCTCAAATATAAGTTGGCCTATTCAAATAATAAAATTAAATAATATTTAAAATAATAAATAAAAGTGATTGAGGTCATAGCAAAACGGCTGTTTCAGTCATTAATTCTTAAAAATAAAAAGGGTAAAAACTAAATACAATGGGTAAAATTCAATAGTGTCTGTGCTATCGTTCAATTTGAAGGTGTCTTTTGAAACCGCAAGACACATTGAATTTTTGAATAGTGTATTATGGTTTGACAGACACCAATGAAAAAAATAAAATGATATTTATTTTAAATATATAAGATCCTTATATAAAATATAAATATTTTATCATTTTATTTTCTTGTTTTAGAAATGTTTTTTATTGAAAAATCAATAAAGCTAACTCCAAAATAAAAATTTTGATTTAAAGACACTATGATGACACCAGGCAAATCTTCCAAGACACCTATCGTCGGGAATCTAACAACCCTACATTTTTTTTAACTGTATGTGAGTTGTAATGAGTCGTTTCATTGCATATTCTCAGGTGAGATTCTTTCTAAGACATATGCGAATAACCAGAGTATATCCAGTGCTGATATCAAGGGTCAAATTGAAGTAATCCCGGCCTATTATTTTTTTAATTGTACTTCATTAACTAATGTATCATTAAGTGAAAATGTAAAATCAATAGGAAGTTTCAAATTTTCTCCTAATAGAATAGTAAGTGAATGGGCCTTTGGTTTTGGAAACATTCAATACCTCGAAATTTGTCAAAATTCCTTAATCGATATGCAATTTTTGTATTATTTGGTTTCCTCCTAGTTAAATCTAATAATCCATGATAATGTTACCTTTCTTGGAGAATCTGGAACTGTTTCAACGAATATTAATATTTCTTACACTGGAAATGCGAAATATAATAAACTCATTGATCAATCCCTTTATTACATTCTGAAAATGAATAATAACACAAAAATATTTACAATTTTGTCCAATAATCTTCATTAAAACAAACAAAAATCCATTTAATTTCTTTCAATTAGAGAATAAAATTCGTCATTTCATCCCTTTAGATAACAGAAATTTCGGAGTGAATTCGGTTCAAAATGATTTCAATGAGATACAATCTGGAAGGTGTGATATAAATGCATATAATTCCCAACGAAATAATTTATAAATAAACGTTGCATAAAAATATTATTATTAAAAATACTTTTATTTAATGTACAATGATTATTCAGATTTCCTATATCTAAGCATTACCATAGTGCATGCAATCTGTGAAGCTCTGTATGCGAGCAAGTCTGAGAGGTCATCTATGTTGTGCTCAAATATAATTGCGTTTGCATCATCCAAGAAGTCGTATTCAATGAACAGCAAAGCACGTCGAACTGGATCATCTTCAAGTCTGATGAAGATAGGAATCCAAAAGAAGTTGTTCGTGAGGCAAAGCCATCTCAAATACGACTCCATGATTCTGATAGAGAGTTCTTCGTTCTTCGTCTTCATCTGTGTCAAGAAGTTGAAAACTTCCTCCACACGTTTCTGCTTCACAACGTAACAGAAACCACTCTCCAAGTCTCTGTCACTGACTGAGAATGATCTAATAATCTGCTGGTACAAGTCCTTCTCGTGCTCTTCGATGCTCAAGATCGCTGCCATTCTTGCTGCACATCGAGGGTTGTGGACCAAGTCTATGTCATCAGAATTAACGTTGATCTTCCTCGACAGACAGAACTGGCAGAACTGCATCATTATGTTCACTGCGTTCAGACTCTCTCGCAGTTCGTAGTTCGATGCAGAACTGGGAACATAAGGAGGGCTCAGCTCAATCGGATGGAATCTGATGTTTATTGCCATGAGAATGGAAGCGTAAGCCTTTCCGATGAAGTTGAACTTGGAAACCATTGTTTCGCTCTCTCCGAAAAGACTCAGAGCTGCTTCCGCCTGCTGCTCCATCATGTTTCGAAGGGAGTAAATGAAGTAGAGGCCTTCGTAGAGTCTGTATTCCTTCATGTAGTCCATCAGTCCGTCAAACAGAGATGAGCAGACGTAAAAGTTTGGATCCTGCTGTTTGATGAAGTTGATGACTTCGATCGACTTTTCTCTCATCATTCCCCTGTAGAAGAATGACTCGCTGAACACTTTCTTCTTGTGGTTCTCGTCTTCGATGCTGTGCAAGAGCTGGTAGGAAGAAGAGAAGTTTCCGATCGATGTCAGGATGGAGATACTTTCGTCGATGCTGCAGTACCTCGAAAGCAGAAATATGAATTTGTTCATTAGTGCCTGTTTTTCGTGCGACTTTTCTTTCGGGTCGAAGAGAGTTGGCTTCGAATTCGTCATCTCGTACTTAACTGTTTCTTTCACAAAACTGTAGATGCTCTTGGAGAAATTCGATGCTTCCTTCGTGACCTGCAGATCTTTGAGGGATCTCGTCATTAATGTCGGAATTTCGTTGTTGAAAACAAAAGGAGAAACGAAACAGTTAAACAATTTCGAGTTACTCCATCCATTCAATTCAAATTCGTTCAGATCGGTTTCTGGTTTCATCGAGTTCGAATCAAATGACTCAATCAAACCCATCTTCGCTTTCTTGTAGCAGATGTTAAGGAGAAGATTGGTTTCGCTCAGTTTGTACACAGAAAACAAATTCTGACAAATGTCATAAAAATCAAATTTGACAAGTAAATTTTCCAAATAATTTCCGAATTCTTCAGAGCAAAAATCTCTGAAATTGTACTTGAATCCATATGTCAAGAAAATTCGCTTCTCTAATATCATGTCAACAATATCTATTTTGTTGTGAAGTGAACTGAAAGATGTCAAATTTCTTATCATCTTCATAATCTTAATTGAATCATCTTCTGCTCTTCTGTCGAAAACATCAAGTTGGCAGATTTCTTCTGTCATGAGTTTGTCGACTAAATTGACGAAAATTTCTTTTTCGCTGAAAAATTCACTCAAATGCGCCAAAATTTTAACTTTTTCATCGAGTTTTGGGAATTTGGAAATTGTTTTGAGGAGAAATTCGTCGTCGAAGAAAACTTTTTGTAGTTTTGTGAGTTTGAAAATCAAATTTGCGTCTTTTTCTATCATTTCTACGACATCTTCTTTCTCTCTGCAATTTCCAAATTCTGCTGACAAATTTTCAAAAGCGGTTTTGACATCTTTTGACATTTTATTTTCTGCATTTTCTTTTTGACTTTTATCTTTTTCTTTGAGCGACTTGATCAGCTCGAAATGCGCCTTAGAAATGTTCGTGATTTTGCTCACAAACACTACATCCTCTTTGTTCTTTTCGTACAACAAAACAAAGGCGTCTTTAGAAACAGAAAATTCAAAATCTGACAAATAACGTAATGTCAAATTTTTATCAAATTTTTCTATAAATTTGAGAGTTTTCTCTTTATCTGAGAGAGATTTGTTGTTTGCGTTGAAGTTCTTGATCTTTATTGTGTCTATCTGGTAGATCTCACCTGGATTCGCCTGGTAGGACACAATTTCCAAAAGTTTTATCACGGCGTCGTTTACAATTTCTAGACACAAAACTTCTTTCAGAATTTTTAGATGATCCAGATTGTAGATTATGTCGTCGAAGTTGTCATCATTTGCTTTCAGTTTTTCGAAGAGTTCCATGAACATTTCCTTGTCATTTCTTGTTTTTGTTTCTATTTTCTGGTCCAAATATCTCTTCAAAACATCCGAAATTGAAATTTCAGACGAAATCTCGCTTCCGAACTCAGAAACAGCAATCATCGTTATCAGAACAGGGTTACTAGGGTATTCAGACAAAATGTACTCCTTCGTGATATCAAATTTCTCCCTGTTCGTCAGAATAATTTCAATCAAATCTTTTCCAACAAAAAGTGACATTTGTTTTGCATCATCAATTTTGTTCATTTTGAGAGCGTTTGATATTGCTTTCACGTAGTCAAATGTTTCGTTGTAGTTGGAATACTTCAAATAAAAGTTCACATCACAAATGAAGTGATGTAAATTTTTAGAATTTTGAATTGTTACAAGGAAATCATCGAAATTGTCCAAACTGTCGAATATGTCGAGAAAAGTGTTGATTGTCTGCCACTTCTCGTTCTGAAGAATGTCGAAACAGTTTAAGTCCCTTTTTTCTATGATTTCCTTGTACTCAGAAAACTTCTTCACGCAGGAACGGAGCAAATCGAAGCTGTACGTCGAGAAGCCGACCTCCAGATTGATCAGGTCCTTGTACTCGACGGCCTCGTCTGGCAGAGTCTTGTTGTTGATCATGGCGTCGACAGAACAGCTAAGAACATAGAAATTCCTGTAGTAGGGAAGGCCGTTTGTAAGATCGTTTGCAAGGTTCCAGTTCTTGCCTTCTATAGCACGGAATATGTTGGTGCTGTCACGTGTTAAGTAGCTCTCAAAGGGAGGATCTTGTCTCCAAAAAGTGAACTGACCATTTAGCATTGAATTTGCATTTTTGATAAATTTATTGTCTGTGAACGGGTTTATTAGCTTTAGGATGGCTTTTGCGATCTGCGTTGTGACAATAAATTTGTTTGACTTGTTTTTCAGGAATAAAAGTGAGAACAAATCGTAGACCATCGCATCTCTTACGTGATTCGTCTTGATTTCCTTGAAAGACGAAGAAATCAGGTCAAGGAACTTCTTTGTGTGGGTCGGAGGTGACTGGAAAATCGAAAAGAAGTTCCGAAATATGTTATAACACCTGATAAAATCAAAATCTTCTGCGGAATCTTCATCTGAGACAAGGAAATACTTCTTCTCAGCATACTCGAGTATCTCTGTGTTACTAATCACGTTCTGTAAGTGGAAAACTAAGGAAGAATCCATCAAATCTGCCGGAGACAGGATTAAGTCGCCGCCATTGCAGAAAGAGATCATCTCCAACAATTTCTGGTCATTTGAAAACCTGATAACTAAATCTGTGGCCGGAGAAGGTAAATAATCCGCTGAAAGAATTTGAACGGATTCGTCGAGATTTGAGTAAAGAAGCTGCTGATTTGCAACTATGAAGTATGGTATTAAGTATTGAAAACCGTTAAAATGTATTAAAAGGTTTTGGAAGTCAAATGAAGCTAAATCAGTGATTGCAAGCGTAGATAACAGGTCCATAAATGATTTATTTTGTGTTATGACTGTATTCACGCATGTAAAGTACTCGTCTGAGATAAAAGGAAACTGTTTTGGAAATTGATACTGATTTGTTATTCTTTTTTGAAGGATATCGCATGAATTTATGTTTGTCAATATGTAACTTGACTTAAATAACTCTGTAATTGAGTGAACATCGATGGCAATTTTTGATAAAAATGATTGAGGTAATTCATGAACTATTGTTAATAAATCTGGACCTAATATATCAAATAAATGCTCATATGTAATTGTTTCAATGAATTTCTTTACTTCAGGATATAAAACTTCGAAAGCTCCAGAATTTGTATCGTGAAATAACAAAAGAAAAAAGCTGATATTATGAATAAAGGCTTCATCTGACTGATATAACTTCTTTCCTTTCAAAATATATGATACTAACTGTTGAATTATTTGATCATCCGAATTTAATAAATCATTTAAAACAATTTCTCGTGAGTTGTCTGGTATTGATTCGCCTAAATACTTGATATATGATTGAACTTTGTACTTGTTATCTAAGTTATCCTTAATATTTTCTTCCGAAATTAAAAATCTCTTTAATTCTTGCAATAAAATAGTTTTTTCTGAAAAATCTACAAATAATGATGGTAATGGCATCTCATTGAAGCAGCAATGATAATAAGAGTCCCACGTACTCCTATCATCAATGCCTTGCATATAACAAAAAGTGACAAGTTTTTTGACAAATCCAATAAAAAAATCAATCATAAATATATCTCTAGATTATGATGGATTTAGATCACAGATATGATGAGATTAATTTTTGAGGCTGAACTTAAAAGATTAATTATTTTGCAAATCGAATGATTCTGGCATAATTGTAAAAATTAGGCATTTAATTCTAATGATTGCTTAGTAGTTAACTAGTTGTTGCTGAACGGCGTCGCGGTACAAGGAAATAGTTTAATACTTCATGTTTAAAGATTGCATTTGATATTTTTGTTAAAATAAGACTTGAATTTCGAGTCATGTGGCAAAAAATCTTGGAGTGTATAATTTAATATTAGAGCATAGCTTCTCATATTGATTATGACTTTGTTCGATAAAATTTATAACTTCACATTCCAAGCTTTAATATAAGAAATGTAATGAGCGAGGATCTTATATATCATATGGATATAGATATATATTGATATTGATCTAAATATCATTCATTTTTATGTAGACAGCTTGATCGTTCAATTCATTTATCTTTGGATCATTTGTAATAATTTTATTTATATGATTACGCCAACATGTGATTAAAGCATAATTTTGTCTAATTTTGGATTACGAAATCGAGAAAGTCATCGTGGATTTGGCATAAAATACTTATGCTAATTATATAAGAACCAATGGCTTTCTATCATCAATATAAAAATGGTGTTCAATTAGAAAATAAATGAAAAAAAAAATTAATAATAACCTTTTATTTACATGATTTCTCAATAGTATCCATGCTTAGCGGCCTTATGGGCAGCCTTGAGAGCCTTCTTCTGCATCTTGTACTGGTCATGAGCAGACATAGCCATAGCGCCTGGGTAGCCACCTGGAGCTGGAGCAGGGTAGCCTGGCTGTGGGTATCCCATTGGTGGTGGTGGGGCATAACCGGCTGGTGGTGGTGGAGCGTAGCCAGCTGGTGGTGGAACATAACCTGGCTGCGGTGGGTAACCTGGTTGTGGTGGGTAGCCCATTGGTGGTGGAGCAGCTGTATATGATGGTGGTGGTGGAGCGGCGTAAGCCATTGGGCCTGGTGGTGGAGCGGCGTAAGCCATTGGGCCTGGTGGTGGTGGTGCCATGCCGCATGGAGCAGCCATGCCTGGTGGTGGTGCAGCCATTGGCTGGAACGGTGGATGTCCGGCTGGGGCAACTTGGATAACAAGGTGGACCTGGCCACAGTTCTTGTGGTGCTTAAGTGGTGTAAGTGGGTACCAGTTGTCGACAACCTGGCCAACAATGAAGGCGTTGGTGGAAAGATTTACCATGCCAAATGGATCGTTTGAGGTAACTTTATCGTGGTCGATGAACTTAAGATAAATGGAGGTGCCTGCGCATTGAAGCGGAATTGTGTAGGATTCGTTCCAGACTGGATTGTAGGTGTTCTTGCAAACACGAGTCTTGTAAAGGGTGGAACCAACATGGATTTCGACATATGGATCGCACTTGCCAAATGCATCTTCCTTTGGCATATCTCTTGCTTCTACTACACGGATGTGGAGTTGCATCATTTTGATATACGAGAAAAAGCAGTTTCTCACAAATAACGCGAATCAATTTTTCAATTGTTGACAAAATTTATATCAAAAATATGTTGTGTATCAATTGTTAAACAATATATGAATTTTATATAAAAAGTGACGATATTACCGAAAAATTGTCCAGCAAATATTTATTATATGATGATATTATAAATTGCAATTTGAATAAAAATTTATAATCGGTGAAAACCGTTGGAATGATTTAGTTCACTTTCTCCCAAAATTTTCCTGATTGTATTCCTATTATATGATTTTACCTTATTTATTTGTGATAATTCAGTTCAATTTATAGATATGTAAGCATATCTAATCTTTTCTTGCACGAATTTTGATAAAAAATGAATCATCTTTTGGTAGTATCGATTACAGTCATAGCCATATGCACTATTTATAGCAAATGCCCTGCAAAATTAGACTTCAATGTAATTTGAAGCAATATCCATTGTGTTTTGACTAATAAATACAAAAGATAAAATAAATCAGTTGAATTGGATTAATAGAGTGATCTTAATGAAGACATCTAAATATAAGATATAATTAATGTATTATAACAAACTTGACTATTTAATTTATTACATTATTGCTGATATCAGCAATCATTTCCAATAGTATTAAAGAGATTCGGTCTAATCTGTATGATAAGATCAAAATTTTATTATTTTAACAAAATTGATAAATTAGTTATGATTGTTCTTTGAGATATGTCCAATAATGCTGACATCATCTTCTTCGTTTTCAATTTCTTCAGAAACGAAATCCGAAATTCCTTCTATTGATCCAATAAGCTCTATCTTGTTTAATCCGATGCAGGGAGGATCGCCTGGACATGGTTCATCCTGAATTAATCTTACATAACGGCATGTATGCTGTTCGCTGAACTTAAATGTTTTATCTCTACATCTTCTGAGATCGTAGTCTTTCTCGACCTTGTGAATAGTCTTCCAAGTCTTGTTATCATTCGAAATCTGCAAAGACCAGCTGTAAAGGCAGCAATGACAGCAGTAAGAGGCATCTTCATAGCAGCAGCATTCAGATTCTATATCACCGCAGCAGCCTGCTTTCAAATAATACCCGTTAATATTCATCATTTTGTTTTTCAGTGTATAAATAGCATAAGGATGTTCTGAATAACTACGTCCGCAATTTGAACACCAGTCGTACTTTTTGTTAATTTGATTAATTGGGTATTCGGGTTTTGTTGTTTGTAAAGTTCCATTTATGAATTGTTTAGATGATCCGCTGGTATATACTTCAACTAAATTCATTGGATATGCAGTTTTAAATATGCTATTCGAGTCAGTAAGTAGACTTTCGCATAAAAATGAATGTTGTAAACAGAAATTCATCAAAAGTGACACCTCAGAAAAGCTAAAATATTGAATTTTTGGAACTTTTGATAGTGCACGTTTTTAAATATTAATTAAAGTAAATGTATATTTTGTAAAGATTCTTTTTAATAAAAAATAAAATTTTGAAGAAGAACACAAAATCTTCTGAAAAATAATATCACATAAACTCATATTATTTTCTAATATATAACTATTTTATATAAAATCAAATTCAATGATCTTAAAAGCGAAGGATAAACCTCAAAATTTACGAATATAATGAGTGGGAATATATGCTTATCTATCATAAAACCATATGAAATATCAATTTTTGCTTTACGCCTAATTTTTGACGACAATTAGCAAAAATGTTAAATTTAACATCAGTCCATTTGAATATGAAAATAAAATTGACTTTGATTAAATGTTTATTTATCATGCAATTCTTCTTGCGACCAAAGATTTGAATAAATTTAAAAAAATAAGATAGCTTAAAAATAATATACGGTAGTGTTTACTAATAGATGAATAGTATATAAATTCTATTAAAATGGATTTGATCCAAAAAATATAAAACCAAAAATAATTGTTATAATTTAAGGGTGCCCTATAACGATAATGTAAACATCACAAAATTAACCTTATTAGAACTCAATGAATGGATTATCCAGATTCTAGTTCTCAATATAATAGCCTTAAAAGTGCTTTTCTGAGGGTGGTCTATCGTCTATAGGGCACCCTTAAATGAAGAAGTCATTTAAAACGATTTTATTTATGATCAAAATTTTATATATTTTTTGGATCAAATCCATTTTAATAGAATTTATATACCATTCATCTATTAGTAAACACTACCGTATATTATTTTTTAAGCTATCTTATTTTTTTAAATTTTATTCAAATCTTTGGTCGCAAGAAATGCATGAAAAATAAAAACATTTAATCAAAGTCAATTTTATTTTTCATATTCAAATGGACTGAGTGTTAACATTTAACATTTTTTGCTAATTGTCGTCAAAAATTAGGCGTAAAAGTGGGGGACAAACTCGCCCATTGTCACTTTTCATTAACCTTAAACTTGTAATTTTCATTATTTTTAATTAACCTTATTTCTTTCCCAATTCCTGATTTATTTTATTCACTTACTATTAAAAGTCACATTTTAATAAAATATAATAATTTATTTATAGCATTTTTTACTATACTGTAATAAAAAATTAATTATAATAAATTAAATGTTTATTAAATCAAATGTTTTCTTTGCAATAATATTTTTAATGTTGAGTAAACAATGTTGGGATCAAGTGTATCATTTTTCAGACCTTTCTGAACAGCTTCAAGCATACTGATGCATTCGACTTTTTTAAATTGTGTCATTTCTTCGAAATCTCTTGTGACTTTTTTGATAACTGTTATATACGAAAACGATAAAAACGGTTTGACAGAAAAGTGACAACTTTACGTGTCAAAAATATAAAAAGTGATATTTTATTCATCATTATCTTCTTCATAATTTATTTCATATTCTTCGTCTTACCAACAAAAGATGGGAATGTGAACAATTGCGGGCAATTTTTACCATTTTGGCTTGAACTAGAGCCTGCGAGGTACATGGATAGTATCAGTACCTCACGGCTCTAGTTCTCTATATGGCGCCGAGAGAATTTTGGTGAAATGTGGTCGCATTTCACCAAAATTTTTCGGCGCCATAGGATGAATTGGAGGGTGAGAGATATTATTTCATACAATACTACTCTCACCTCCAATTCCCAGCCAAAATGGCTAAAAATTGCCCGCAATGTGAACAATTGCGGGCATTTTTAGCCATTTTGGCTTGGAACTAGAGCCTGCGAGGTACATGGATAGTATCAGTACCTCACAGGCTCTAGTTCTCTATATGGCGCCGAGAAATTTGGTGAAATGTGGTCGCATTTCACCAAATTTTTTCGGCGCCATAGGATGAATTGGAGGGTGAGAGATATTATTTCATACAATACTACTCTCACCCTCCAATTCCCAGCCAAAATGCTAAAAATTGCCCGCAATGTGAACAATTGCGCGGCAATTTTTAGCCATTTTGGCTTGGAACTAGAGCCTGCGAGGTACATGGATAGTATCAGTACTCACAGGCTCTAGTTCTCTATATGGCGCCGAGAAATTTTGGTGAAATGTGGTCGCATTTCACCAAAATTTTTCGGCGCCATAGGATGAATTGGAGGGTGAGATATTATTTCATACAATACTACTCTCACCCTCCAATTCCCAGCCAAAATGGCTAAAAATTGCCGCAATGTGAACAATTGCGGGCAATTTTTAGCCATTTTGGCTTGGAACTAGAGCCTGCGAGGTACATGGATAGTATCAGTACCTCACAGGCTCTAGTTCTCTATATGGCGCCGAGAAATTTTGGTGAAATGTGTCGCATTTCACCAAAATTTTTCGGCGCCATAGGATGAATTGGAGGGTGAGAGATATTATTTCATACAATACTACTCTCACCTCCAATTCCAGCCAAAATGGCTAAAAATTGCCCGCAATGTGAACAATTGCGGGCAATTTTTAGCCATTTTGGCTTGGAACTAGAGCCTGCGAGGTACATGGATAGTATCAGTACCTCACAGGCTCTAGTTCTTTATATGGCGCCGAGAAATTTTGGTGAAATGTGGTCGCATTTCACCAAAATTTTTTCGGCGCCATAGGATGAATTGGAGGGTGAGAGATTTATTTCATACAATACTACTCTCACCTCCAATTCCCAGCCAAAATGGCTAAAAATTGCCCGCAATGTGAACAATTGCGGGCAATTTTTAGCCATTTTGGCTTGGAACTAGAGCCTGCGAGGTACATGGATAGTATCAGTACCTCACAGGCTCTAGTTCTTTATATGGCGCCGAGAAATTTTGGTGAAATGTGGTCGCATTTCACCAAATTTTTTCGGCGCCATAGGATGAATTGGAGGGTGAGAGATATATATTTCATACAATACTACTCTCACCCTCCAATTCCCAGCCAAAATGGCTAAAAATTGCCCGCAATGTGAACAATTGCGGGCAATTTTTAGCCATTTTGGCTTGGAACTAGAGCCTGCGAGGTACATGGATAGTATCAGTACCTCACAGGCTCTAGTTCTCTATATGGCGCCGAGAAATTTTGGTGAAATGTGGTCGCATTTCACCAAAATTTTTTCGGCGCCATAGGATGAATTGGAGGGTGAGAGATATTATTTCATACAATACTACTCTCACCCTCAATTTTAATTACTTAAACTCATTCTATTTTTTTGACATGTAAATGTCACTTTTACTGAGATCTGACACAATGTCAGATCTCTTTTTTCGTATATAAGATAACTTTAACACTTCTCTCTGAATCCAGACCTTTAATTTGCAACTTAATCAGGAATGAAGGAACAACACTGGAATATAACTCGATGACAAGTTCATCGAGTCGAAGATTTCGCCTTTCTGGGAAGTACTGGTGATTCAAAACCTTGAAATGTGATTCCGAGATGTTGTTTGTTCCATCTCCTTCATTTCTATAGCGAAGCATCCACCTGTCAAGATGATGGCGCCACTGTTGGTCAAAGTATTCACGGGCAGCAGGTTCCTCATTTAAAATTTCTTCTAAATTGTTGTAAACTTCATCAGGATCAATTTCTTCCTCTTCAGAACCAAAGACCAATAACTTCATTAAGTTATAGAAAGTTTCGAAGTTGGAACGATCTTGAAACTTTTCAGCCTTTCTCATGACAGCGCGCAACACATGAACGCCACACCAAATGATCTGGCATAAGGGGATGGCTGTTTCAACAGCATTTGTGATTTGAGGTGCGCAGTCCATTGAAAAATAAGATGGTTCGCGATTGATGGAGCCAAAATATGCTGTGAGACAAACTTGTATATTTTCACTTGTGTTGGGCCAAATGAAAAAATACAAAAACGGAAAAACAATTGATTCCGCGAATTTGCCAGTGCGGCATAAATGGTATGCGAGAGCGCAAGAGCTTATAAGTGGAATCAATGTGATAAGTTTGTATTTGATGTGAAAAAAGCATTTGCTTCGAATGGGCGTAATAGAAAATCATACGATCTGCTCGTGAATAAACTCGATGAGATCATCCGGAGAATGACTCTTAACCACGTCGACAAAAATTGCAAGAGATGTAACATCATCCGCTGAGAAACGGGTATTGATTGCATGAAGGCGTTTAGAAAACTTTTTTAAAGCATCTGTAGATTGTTGAAACATTTCTGAATGATCCCACTATCAAATGGATATTAAGATCTTTGAAACACCTTAATTGTGCGTAAACACGGTCTTGATTGATTCAAAATATCTTGTTAAATAAGATCTATAAAAATATGATGTAATTTGTTGTGATTTGTTTGGAAAAGGGCAGAATGATTGTGGGTGTTAATACATTTTCGTATGTGTACTTGTCATCGGGAAGTGTATCAACAAGGAAGCGACATGGACAATTCGGCAACTTACAATTAAATTGGATTTGATTTCTTTCTTTCCTAGTTTTATATGAATAACTACAACCTGCTTGGATTTCTTGTTGCACTCCATACTTAAGCAACTCGATATATGTGAGTTCGTGATCTTGATCTGCATTAAAATGAAATGATTTGAAAGATAAAGAATTTTGAATATATTGGTCTTATTTTGATAAGCTTGGTCGTGTTTTGAATAGCTTGGCCATCTAATTCAATTATGATCTTTGAAAATTAGGTGAAATAAAACTAAACATAAATGTAAAACTAGGGATATGAAATTTTGGTTGTACACCACTTGTATGTCCGGATACCATTGTGTCAAATTTTTTCTGAAATTAACTTTAAAAGTACTAAGTAAGATCATGAGATATAGCAATATATGTTTAAACCAACTTATATTTTGGTTGTACACCACTTGTATGTGCCGGATACCGTTGTGTCAAATTTTTTCTGAAATTAACTTTAAAAGTAAGTAAGATCATGAGATATAGCAATATATGTTTAAACCAACTTATATTTTGGTTGTACACCACTTGTATGTGCCGGATACCATTGTGTCAAATTTTTTCTGAAATTAACTTTAAAAGTACTAAGTAAGATCATGAGATATAGCAATATATGTTTAAACCAACTTATATTTTGGTTGTACACCACTTGTATGTGCCGGATACCATTGTGTCAAATTTTTTCTGAAATTAACTTTAAAAGTACTAAGTAATATCATTTATTTTTGCATAATATAATGCCAATATGGTTTCTTTTGATTTTATTTCATTTATAAGCAAATCAGATTTACCCAAAAACTCCACTCCATAAGCGTTCATTTGCTAAATTAAAAAGTGACAATGGGCTAGTCTGTCCCTTTCTCTTAGGCGTAAAGCAAAAATTGATATTTCATATGGTTTTATGATAGATAAGCATTATATTCCCACTCATTATATTCGTAAATTTTGAGGTTTATCCTTCGCTTTTAAGATCATTGAATTTGATTTTTATATAAAATAGTTATATATTAGAAAATAATATGAGTTTATGTGATATTATTTTTCAGAAGATTTCATTCTATATGCCTATGAAAAGTACTCTCAAAACTAACTTTTTCCTAATTATAATTAAATCTAGAATATTGTATTATGCTTAGTATTATTTCATTTTTCTCATTCAATTTAGAATTTACAAATGTCAAAAAAATTGAGAGCTGTCACTTTTGATGAATTTCTGTTTATTACATTTTAAAGTTTATTTTTAAGTTTATTTTTTAAAAAATTATTTTTTTTTATTTTGTAAATGTCAAAAATTTTAAAGTTTATTTTTAAGTTTATTTTTTAAAAATTATTTTTTTATTTGTAAATGTCAAAAATTTTACATGTCAAACGGTTTTTGTAAATTCTAGTAATTTGGGGTCCGAGGGGCGTAGACCCTTGGTACCGAATTACTAGATACTAACTAAGGTGGCCAGCCTAATGTCTATCAATCTTTAATATTAGTAGTAATTTCCCGCATTTCTGAATGATGATTGATTAGCTTTGTTGTTATTGATGTAAAACTGGATAAGTATTAAATAATTATATTAATCTTGGCCAGGGGACTGCTGATGGCCAGTCAGCAGCGGCCACTATGAATCATTATAATTATTTAATACCTAAATTGAGGTAAAAAGCAATAAGAATTGCCGAGCCTCATGCCCCTACCTCATATAAATAGAATCACACTTTAGTGAATCAACATCTATAAGAATGAAGTGTTTTGAAGCTGAAATAATATTGAATAGAAATTAATTTTTTCTGAAATTTTGAATGAAATTATGGGAAATAAAAAAATTACTAAATATTGTATTCATACAAATATATTATTTTAAAGGAAAAATAGATGCTGATAGAAACGATGAAAATTTTTGAAAACCTTACAATTAATTTATGTTCGTTAACCACAGAGCTTGCAATCCAAAGCTCACGTTAGACAACAAGAGTCATGAAGTCTCATACTAAGGGATATCCAACATATATTTTAATAATCTAATGTTTGTGACAAATATTCAACATAAAATTAAGTTTTCGTTTCGTTACAAGGCATTCATACTTTGGAGATATCATATTTAATGTACAGAAAAGTTAATATTAAACAATACATGCTAAAGAATTAATAAATAAGATAATAAAATAAATTTATACGTAATTACTTTCATTTAATATGCTTTATGCTGTATAATATTGATTAAGAGGCATTAAAAGGTTTCATAGTCTGCTTTTATAGGCAAGATTTTTGATAAAAATTTTAAATTTTGAAAAATGATGAGAAAAGGAAAAAAAGGTAAATGAGAGCAAGAGGAGGGAAAAAAAGAAAAAGAAAAGAAAGGGAAGTAAAAAATAAAAGAAAGAAGGACATATAAAAATTTAGATGCGCATTCTTAATGCCGAGGCGGCTTGCCGCCGAGGCGCGATTTTTTTAGGCCTCTACGGTAACCCGGCAATGTTTTTTTAAATTTTGTACAGCCCTATAATTAATAGCAAGTTTCTAAGAAAATGATTGATAAAAATCCAAGACAATGTAAAGAAAATATCTATCACCATATGTGAACAGATCTCCTTTCACAGAAGTTGATGATCACACTCTTATAAATCTAATAGATAAAATTATCATCAAATGGACGAAAATATCTAAACTAATGAATAATAGAAGCAATGCAAGTTTGAAGTCTAGGTGTAAAGTTTTAAAGAGGAAGCATATATAATTATTTGTGAAAAAGAATTCTATTGATAATAAACTCATTACAATGCAAGTTTCAAATAATAGACAACAAGATAATGATCACATTCATGATTATTTCTCCCAAATAGATGATTTATTTATAAATTTTGATGATTATGACCCATTATTTGAATCTTTTGTTTAGTACTTTAAGAGTTATCTATTTGTGTAAAATATTATTCTTTCTTATATTGAAAATCCTAAACATGACTTAAATAAAAACTTTTCAGGTAATTAAGCAGCATGAAAACACATTTCACGTGCGTAAGAATTGCATAATGTTTCCAATGATATCTTAAGGGGGATCATTATAAATAATGAAGAAACATTAAGAATAATCGATGAAATGATGTATGATTGGGAATAGAAAAGAAATATCAAAATTACCTATAATTGATAAGATTTCAGCTGCATAAATTTCAATGTGATATTCTATATTAGTAATGAACTTTTTCTGGAATTATCAGCGCAATCCTTTCATTCTGTAATTTGTTTTTCAAAAAAATGGATTTGAATGGAAATCAAGCTCAGCAGAATCCAAAAATAACATTTAGCCAATACATATCCGCAATTAAGAGGGATATTTCTTATCTTTATATCCCTTTTTCAAAGCAAACTCAGTTTTCTAATGAAATAAATCGAGCAGATCTGATAGGAAATGAAATTTTAACCCTTCATAATAGATCAAATATCTCAAAAGTTGCTTCCTATAAAGCAATTTTGGATGAAATTTTGAAACAGATTCAATCATATTTTTCTCAACCACTTGAAGCGATAATATCCGACTTCGTCAAATCAAATCTTGATGAAATAGAAGCTACAGTGATAAACTTGATGGAAAATAAAAATAAAACGAAAACAACGGAAAATGACTACCAAAAATCCCATTTTTCAAAGCAAATTGAAGAAATCCGATTGCTCCTTAGTAATTACAAATCAAACCAAGATGTTAATGATTCTATTTTAATGAATTTGAACATTTTATCTGGAGATATTCAATCCGAATTTTCAAATCAGTCAATGAATGCAGTCAAAGGTGCATTTATCTCCATAAACAACTCAATAGAGTGTATTACAGCTCCTAATAACATAATTTCTTCGTCACAAACCTATATTCAAGAAATAGAACGATTAAACAATCAAATAATCGATCTATTGAATAACTTTGTGAATAAGCAACCTATTTCTGCTGAAAATTCTGAAGAAATTGAGACAACAACTGAAAATGAAGCAAATACTGAACTTGTCAATCTACAGAAGCTCAAAGACAATATAACAAAAGAGATAGATGCTGAAAATCGTGAAATTTCCGACATGAAAACAGAAATTTTAAAAAATTACAAAGAAATTCAAGAAAGAGAGGAATATTATGAAACGTTCAAGGTTCCACAGGATACCAATGACATTTATATCGAATACACCCAATTACTTTCTCAGAAAAAGGAAATCCAAAACGAAATTGAAAAAATTGAAAGTCAAAAACGCGAAATTGAGCAACAACTGCTCACCAGTATCCCCATTTCTCCAGAGACCAGAAGAATGCAAGCTCAAAATCAGTATTACGTGAAATTAAACGCTGCATACGAGAATTTCAACCGAAAAATGCTCTGGGACATCCAGAACCTCAATGTTCTGACGAGAGAGATGATGAACGATGGCTCCACTGTTGTTTTCAACAACTCCCAGCTGAAGAACGAGAATTTGAAGCTGAATCAGGACATAAACTCGGCGGAAAGCGGCCTGGCCTTCATAAACCAGCAGAGGGATGAAATTGTCAATGTCATTGAGGAGATTTATTCCACAGAAGAAGTAGAAACAGCAATTTTTTCGCTGATTTCGGAAAATTTTGACGCAAAAAACGAAAAAACTTTTGTTTCCGAGGAAATAAAGGCGTTTAGAGGGAGAATACAGAGTGAAGAAGATCTTGTGAAGGCTCTGAATAATCAGATCAATGAAAATGAAGAAAAAGAACAGAAATCTTTGAAAATAATTTCAAATTTGCTTGAAAACATCAATAAAAAGATGGAGGAGCTCAGAAACTCTTCAAATTCTAATAAGGTAGAGCGTTTGCAGCCAAAGGAACTTCTGAACAGAGCAAAATTTGATGAAAACTCAGTAATTTTCGATGATTTGATTAAATTGCAGGTAAAGTATAAAAAATTGTACTTCAAAGAGGATAAAGATAATCCGAGTGATGAACTGCTCAAGATGAGTGAAAAACTCTATCAGAAAACTGATAAATTGAAAAAATCTGGAAATTTGGAAAATTTAAAGGCAATTAAAAAGTATTTTGCTGATCTAGAGGCTCAAAGGGATCGAATTATTCTCCACGCGACTCGTGGCGCTGAGAAACAGACGGAATTGGCGTTTTCCGAAAATGATCTTGAAGAATCCGAACTAAATCTCACTTTATTAGGCTTGAAAGCAGAAAACTCTGGATATGAAGTCAAATTCGATCAGAAAACACTAGATCGAATTGAAAAAGCTCGATCAAAAATGTTATCTACGCTTTCTGACCTCAAATTGTTTGATGACTGGGTAAATTTGTATGTAGATGAAGATGAGAAGAAGAATCCTTTGATTGATAAGATTAATAGTTTAATTGAAAATTCTTGAATAAATGTTTGTTTGATTTCTTTTTAAATTATAATTCTTGACCTATTTTTAATAAGTAAATCCCTTTTGTATGACGGATTAATTAATAATGATTATTCAAAGTGTATTCGATATATAATGGGAATTTTTAGAAACTCATCTATGTTATTCATGCGGTACCTATATATTTCATATTAAAGTGAGTTACATACTAATTTAATGGCTGTTCATATTATTTATATCATTATATTGTTAATTTTATCCGTATTAATAATAATATTAATGGTTTCATTCTAAAATACGCAAGATTACTTGAGGTCCTTGCATTGTAAATCTAAAATAAACGCTTATTCAAATATAAATTCATTTTTGTTTTATGATAAATCTTGCAAGCTTTAAATGATCTGATTCATCCTCATATATTTTGCATTAGGCCCATAATACGAACCTGTAAAAAAAGCAAGTTATATATTAAAAAGGCATAAGAGTTTACAAACAAACAAAATATATAAGATATAAGTAATTAATATAAGTTAATAAATGGGGAGAAGCTTCCTAAACTTTTTAATCCCATAAATATGGTCATTATCTGGAATAAAGAGTTAAGCGTCATATGTCACTTTTTGTACTAAGGAAACATCGACTTTATGCGTTATGACTTTTCGATGAGGAAACAAGTGTTCACGTATTATAAACTTCCTTATTCCAATAAACCAACCCTAAACATAATTAATTCTAAGAATGATAATGGTCTCTTTTCTATGATAACCAAATCAATTTGGTTATCATAGTAAAGCACCAAAAACAGGAATAGGAATCGACAATATGGAATCACGAATCAACTCTAACAAAATGGAATTGGAAAATTCTTGCATCTATTCTTTATTTATGCAAAATTTAAATTTCAAACAAAATTCTCGTACTATTCTCAATAAGATTTGCTGAAACTTATTATTACTCTTATACGAAAGAAGATTTTTCATGCTAATTTTATCGAAGAACTTTATCTTGCAAAATAAAATACTCATTTCCTAGAAACTTAGACTAAAAACGGTAACAATGAATAAACTTCAGTCTAAAAATTAAATTCGTACTACTGTAATTAAATACTTATCTTTATAAAAAAATATCATTTTTTTTTCCAGTGAAAAAAAGATGTGACTTTTATTGATTGATTGTTTGTAAACATTGCACTTTGAATAAGTATATTTTGTTTAAATTTGCACTTGGAATAAATATACAAAACAACACTGAAATTCCAGCTACTTTTCAATACTAATCATTTTTAAACATTCATTGTCCGTTGATTAGTAAGGCAAATGTTCGATTTTGAGCATGCATATTCAGTGAATCAATGCATTAATTAAAATCAATGAAGGAAAGGGGATAAAACATGAATTGCAACTATGTCGCTATAAAGATATATGTCTCACAAATTGTTAGAATAGAGTTCTTTCATAATGATTGAATATTCTTTCCTATTTTGGTTATTACACGGAATTTCCTTCCTAAACATATAATGTCTTCCTTATAAAATGACTTGCTTTCTTTGAAAGCTAGTATATTTTAACATTTTTGAAAATTTTTATATTTTTTTTTAAGTTTTATTAAAACAATAGAGATTTAAGTATATCCCCTCTAAAATAAGTGTTAATAGTATAAAATCAGGTTAAATTTGATCTAATATGAGTAAAAATGTAAAAAAGAACACACTCATTTTGCATGTAAAGGAATAATCAGAGTTATTCAATAACATTTTACGTATTAAATTATGGAATTACGATATCTTTTGAACAAAATTCAACGTAATTAGCAGAATGAATTTAAAAAATTGCTAAAAGAATGATGTACATTGATCATGCATTAAAGTATCTTAATAAAAATGCAGTAATATACAATGATGAGCAAAGCAGATTTGAATCAGAAAGAAGATTTGCTTAAAAAATCAGTTGAGTCTTCTCTAGTTTCCATATTGCCTATTCCTGTTTAAACGCGGTTATTCCTATTCCTGTTTTTGGTGCTTTACTATGATAACCAAATTGATTTGGTTATCATAGAAAAGAGACCATTATCATTCTTAGAATTAATTATGTTTAGGGTTGGTTTATTGGAATAAGGAAGTTTATAATACGTGAACACTTGTTTCCTCATCGAAAAGTCATAACGCATAAAGTCGATGTTTCCTTAGTACAAAAAGTGACATATGACGCTTAACTCTTTATTCCAGATAATGACCATATTTATGGGATTAAAAAGTTTAGGAAGCTTCTCCCCAATGGAGATGATGTCAACTTTGAATTCAGGTATGATCGATTAAATCCTAATAATATTGTATAATAAGTATCTGAATTTTGTTAAAATTTCTTCTGGAAACCCAAAGTAATTTGAAGGTTATAAGAAATGGGAAAAAAGCACAAAACATGATGGGAAGCAAGTTACAGAACTCTTACGTCATTATTTCATAAGATTCATCGTCCGAAGAGCTGTATCTCTCAGCTTCTTCGAAAGCTTCGTTTATGTAGTAATGATTCATGAGGCTTAATGCCTGAGCTTCACTGGAATCTTCGGAATCTGAATATGTGATAATTGCGTACTGTTTTTGGTCATGATTTTGGATTTGGTCAGACATTATAAAATCTGATTTTGACATTTATCAAATTTTTCAATGTGATATTACGATCGCAATCGGATAATTATTTTATTGATAATCTTATTTAAAGCATTATAATAAATGTTAATCCTTTTATTGGAGATTTTTCACTACGCTTTTTCATATGATGTCGATGATGAGCGTTAGAGTAAAAAAGTTGGATTAAGTGGTGATAACTTCTACATAATGATTTTTTGGAAATGATGGGATAATAAAATAGATGCTAACGTGCTCCACTCTGAAAAAATCAAAAATTATCGGATAATATAAAAGCAAAAATACAATTATTTATTGTGTATAATCTAGATAATTATGTTCAGACAATGTGATAATTTAATAATGTATCCGTATTACATGAAATTTTGAGAGCAAATTATGATAATACACGGGGAAATTAATGAAGAAATATTTTTTTTCCCATTTTATAAAGAAATAAATATGAATATTTCATCTATGGCATATAAATGTCATGCAATTATTCGATTTTTTTCGTGATTGAAAACTTTATAGAAATTAAAAAAAAATGATTGTTAAATGTTTAATAGGTTAAAGTTATTAACCTAGGGCATAAACAGTAATGTGACATTAAAAAACATGAACGAGCATAATCCAATTGAACAAAGAATTTCATAGTATAATAATGGGAGAATTTACAAAATATAGCAATGTTATTAAACTTAATGAATCAAAGAATCTCTAGCAATGAAAGGGAAAAGATGTCAAGAATACCGTCGCGCCGTTGCGAATTATTGTAAAATATGAAAGAATAAATTCGGTAGAATATGAATATACTGGGAATATACTTGAATAATTTAAAGGAGACATTGAGAATTTATTGATGCTTTCCGAGAACCTGACAATGTAAGAAATAAATAAAAACAAGATGATTTGTATGATGATAATAAATTAAATTAATTTATAATTAATATTGAGTTTTGATAAGTACGTTTTTAAAAATTAATAAATGAAAAATAAATGTTGAATAATTGAAAATGGCAATATGTAAGAGATATTATTAGAAAAGTCATAACAAAGTTATAGTATAGAATCTTGTGGCTTCAATCAAAAAAATTGTGACAAACCGTACACGATCTCACAAATTTTGGCTAATAAATTTGAATAAAAATCTAGAATATTATTATGTTAATTATGATATTGGTTGTAAACATCAATTTTCAAAAAAATAATATTAACAAAAGTAATTTCAGAAATAATAGTTATTGAAGATAATATCAGCTGGTTCAAAAATTAATAATTTCATCCATTAAAAAAATGAAATGCTCTGAAAAACTGATATGATTTATTCAAATTTTGAATATTTAAACCTCAGTTTCAATGTCCATAAAATTACATAAAATAGAGAGTTAGATATAGCAATATACGCATTTTTTAATAATATAACAAAATGGATAGTAAGTTTAATAAAATTTTGGAAAAATGCATAAGGGATATACCCCGCATTACTTCTCGAATTGATTATTTAATGAGTAATTGGAGAAGTATTACTCGTACAGCGAACGAAATTTTGGTTGAAATACACCGTGTTATCGACTACGGTAATATTCCTTCTATTATTTTGCTGCTGTTGCTGTCCAGTCATAGCCCACTCTGCGGAATCGAAGAACTTAGTAGTGCCACGCTTGTTTCGGGCCATTTCGTTTGCTGTAAGCTTGCCAAAAGATGGGCGGTCATTGATCATAGACATGATATCAAATAATGATAAATTTGTCACAAATTTTTTTTGTGAAAGGCAGTTAACAAATTTGCCGTCATCTGTTGTAATTTTGACAAAGATATGACAATCAAGTGGTCATAACTAAACATATAAAGAAGAACGTTATTTTTAAATTATAATTTGAATAAATTATCAAAATTTGAGAAATAACTGAACTTTTACAGTAAAGTGAGGTAAATTAATAGATTTCTCTTAAATATACCAGAAAAGTATTTTTAATAAAATTTTGAAAGAATCTGCGATTAATAAAGTTAAAAGTTAAAATTGTATTTTAAACTAACCTATCATTGATATTCAGTTTAAAATTGAATTTTGCAGAAATTAATATGGATTTTCAAAGCTATTGAAAATCCATGCGAGACTATCTTAGCTATCTTTTACAATAACCTAGAATATTATTTATCATAGATTTTCATAACTTGTTGTTTATCCCTTCAAAATTTGAATGACTTTTGGTCACTAAAGTCAGATTTTGCATTTTTATAAGCATTCTACTATATCATATCATAACAAATAATTATTTGGGTTCCAAATTGTAATTATTTTTTCTCTCAATCTAATTTCAATTACCACAAATTATCGAACCGTATATTTATCATTCTTTTCCGCATCCAATCTGATTCCTTCATTTTAACAGTATTTCTTAAAATCTAAATTTTTCAATCCAATAATACTCCCTTATTGTTTTTCTTCATCTCATCGTATCATCTTTGCAAGCACATTTTGCACAATCAAGGTTTCGAAGAATCTTTTCTTTACATTTGATTTATCTCAAATGTTTTATAAGAAATATGGCCATTACATATGTAATTGCAAATAACAACCATTTTCCATTGAATCAATGTAATAATTGTCTATTTTACCTATTGTTTATTGTTCATTCCATCTTGATTATATTATATATTCAAATGGTTTTAATATTCTTGTTATGATCTAATTGTTAGGCATTATATCATATTTATTATTCGAAAACACATGTTCAAATTAATCAAAAATTGAAACTTCTAATATATGAAAATAAATCCTGTTAGTCGAAATTTACCACTAATTGGATAATAAATCTGACTCTTATTTTCTCTTATATTCAACAATTCAAAATGAAAAAAAAAATCAGAAAGAAATGAATTAAAAATATGATAAAAATAATTAAAACAAGAACTAAAAAGGAATTTACAAAGCAAGTTAAAGAACAAACATAGATTATTCGTAAGTTTGAGTTTCAGTACCTGTTGTGTGAATGAAATATCCACCTTCTTCAGAAGAAGAGAAATCCATCTTAAACGGATCATCCTCATCAATAGTTGTAGTAAATAATGGGTTATCCACTGTACACGAGGTTTGGCTTTGAATTTGGTGGAGTTCGATTGCTCCAGATTCTATGAACTGACCAGAAGAAGACGAAGTAGTGTCAACATCATCATTCTTCCTCTTCAAATAAATCAAAACCAAAACAATTCCAATGACAACCAAAAGGAAGGCTGCAGCTGCAATGCCGCAAATCAGTCCAATGTTGGACTTGCGAGCGCGTTTAGACTCTGTCTCATCCACAAAAATGCCAATATTCGTCTCAATGACAGTGTTTATTGGCAAAAGTGTCTCCACTTCAACTTCTGTGTGGAAGACGATAATTGCTATGTCCTCTTGTCTTGTTGTCATTGTGAAAGAGTTCGTAACAGTTTTAGTGATCAAAGTTGTGGAAATAAAGGACACAGTGTAGGAAACATAAGATGTCTTTGGTTGGTCATATGAAACTTCAGTACGAACAGGTGTTCTCGAGGGAGGAAAAGAGATTTTCTCAAATTTACCAAAATTGTCTATAGAGATCGGTTTAGGAGTGACAATTGGTGTTGGATATGGATCTTCCTCAGCTGTTGGCGTGACTTTGTTCGTGTAGTCTGTTTTGTCGTCATAAGCAATTTTCTGGTAGTTGATGGAGACTGGAGTGATTTGTTCTGGCACTGGTGCGCTGTACTTTATGTATGGATACTGTGGGTAGCACTCAAGTGGCTCTGTGTGTGTAACAAGAAATTCATAAAAATTGTAACTCAAATGGCACTCATTTTTACTGATCCACTCTGTCTTGCTGTTGCCGTTGAAGTGGATGTCCTTTCCTGCCTTCTCCGCAAAGAAGTAAGAAGAATTAATAAAGTTCATGTTAAAATTATTTGATTTTGTGAGAATTCCTGATTCCCCATCATTTGAATTGACACAAATGGCTCATCCGCTGTTAAATACTTGTTGGTTGTAGTATGATTTCTCCTTGAAAGCAAATTCTGACCTCTGTTGGCATTTGTTTGATGTGAAGTTACAGCCGATGATGTTTGATTGTGTGTTAGTGATGTAGATCGCTCCACCAGAAAACCTGGCTGTATTTAAATTAAATTTTGTATTTTCAATCATTATGTTCGCTGCTTGGATGTATAAAGCTCCACCAAGAGATCTGCATGTATTGTTTTCGAAGATTGTATCTTCAGATATTGAAATTCTTGGATTAATTGTTTTCAAATCTGCAGAAGAATAATTAACTTCATCTATTTCTGTGTAAATGCCATGCTTTGATGCAGTTATTTGAACTGCACCGCCGTTTGCTATTGCTTCGTTGTTTATAAATTCATTTTTGGAAATGATTGCATCGCCTGCAACAATCGATAACGATCCACCGGTATTGGCAGCATTAGACATATAATTAGTGTTTTTAGATATCAAATTGCTTGTAGATAAATATAAAGCTCCGCCAGATCCAAATGTCAGGCCAACGCCAAATGCAAAGCAGTCCTTGAATGTGCAATCAGTTGTCGTGATTGTACATCGGAAGAAGCATCTATTATTTCTCTTTCCATTGAAATTTGAAGAGTCAAATATCTTTTGCGTGTTTATCTGTTCATCCCCGTCTATTTCAAGTATATCGCTGATATTACCGTCATCACTAATAGCGGAGATCAAGATGGAAGAAACAACAGAGAGCATAATTGAATATTAAAACACCAGCCGCGGTAGAATTCAGAAAATAAAAAAAAAATTAATTGAACCCCGGTAATTTTGAATGATTCAATACATCCTTCTCAATTAAAATTTTTTTGGAAAAAAGAAAATGATATACATATGTATTTTATAATAATTTCAAAGTTTAGACTTTTTGCTCAAAAATTATGATCGTTTGGATTATTTAACTAGGATTGATTATTCATATATTAGAATGTGTTTCGAATGTGTTATTCCCAAGTAGCCGAAATAATTGATTTGAAAGCATTGGAGAAATCAGAACTCCAAAAGATTATGATTTATTGCTTATGTCAGTTTGATATGGAGATCATATTACTGATACTGCATAAAAATGACTTATTTTTTTGTCTACGAAAAAAATTGAAAAATTTATATTCGAAATCTATATTCTTCAGCAAAATCTAGATTGTGGCATTGTTATTCCAATTTCTGTGATATGAGAATTATTATTAAAGGTAATAATTATATATTTAACACCATTAATATTGACAATTTTCATCAATTCATATAAAACAAACGCTTGTATGAACGTATCATATATTAATTTCTTCTCACTGTCTATTCAAGAATTGTAATTAAGGTAATAGCTTTTATAATAAATATGTAAATTAATTTTGGAATAAGAATTCATTTCATTGGTAATAGTATTTCTTTTGCAATGCAAATGTTAACAGTATATATTTAAAATAGATTCCTTTTTTATATTGATGAGTTTATAAAAATAAACTAGTAGAAAACGCTCAACTTCTGTCAATTGCAAGCTGCTATTTATTCGGGAGTTGATTTATTTTGATTTGAAAGCTTTAATATATATGTTTCCGGCAATGAAAACAATTATTGTTTTGCATAGCGAGAAAATCTAAATAATAGTCGTATGCATGTATCAGAAGCATGTGTTATTGAGAGATTTGTAAGAATATAGTATGAGAGGAATCATGAAATTTCATTAATTAAGGATACCCTTACGTGTCAGATTTTTTGCGCATACGAAGAAGTCATGCTAGACATGAGCTATAAACCTGAAATTTTAGCAACATATTTAAAACTTTTTAAACTACAATACACTTTAATATTCAAGAACAAAAATATTCTTTTTAGAAATTACATAATTATTTTATGTGAAATCTATATAAAAACATATTTTGCGAGCGTAACTTTTTTCTTTATAAGCACCTTATATGACTGATAAACTGTGAAGGCACATAATTGTTAATTCATAGAGTTGATATGTTTCCAAAATTGAGAGGAAATTTGAAAATTGAATACCCTTTCAATTCAATTTTCAAAAGATATCAGCTCCTTCAATAATTGAAGGACGATTTTGATCATTTGCTCTTAAAACAAGTATGCCATGGAGAAAAAAGTTACGCTCGCAAATCTGAAATATAACTATCATAAAAAAATTAAATTTCTAATTTTTTACTCTATAGATATTATTGGCCACTTGTGTAATGCATAAAAGTTTATGTCATATGCATACATTTGGAAGTATGGGAGACGAGGGAAATTACTTCTATGAGGCACTAGGGTTTTTAAAAATTTCTCTATCGGACTCACCATTCAATTTCTCGAAAATTAAAAAAAATCAATAATAGCTAAAATGTATTATGCATAACAAATTTTAATGTTACACGGTATTTTTTGAACTTCATGACATGAATTTTCTTTATATTATTTTTTTTTTGGATTTTCTATGATTTATGCGATAGGCTGGAACAACATTGTAAGTGCAATGATATCATTTATAGAGAAATCTAAAACTTCAGCATTCAGAACTCGCAACCACAAAAATATTCATTTGCTAAGTAAGTAAAGTTGATTAAGTTCGACACTTAGCTTTTATACGTAAAACCAAGTGTGTATTGTTATTTCTTGTTAAATTATTGAGAAAAAAATAAATTGTAAGAGAAACGATACTGATTATTGAAATAATATTGAGGGTAGCTGCAGATTTCTTCATTAACATGCCGGAAATTTGTTAATCTTGGTTTTCTATCATAAAATCTGTCGAAGAATCTAAAAACGGAGATATGAAATAGAGATCATGTAAATCTAGAGTATCCTGTCAGAAAAATAGACTAAGCATGTAACCCTTTTTTGGTCATAAACACTTTTTACCACTTAGTCATACAGATGATCATTAAATTTAAACGAGCACTTTTTGTCAGAATTTATTCTTTTACAAAGACAGAAGATTTTAGTATTATTTAATATTAGTGCTGTAGCAAAATTCAAAAAACGGTGAAAATTCAGTGAATTTGTGAATTCACATTTTTTCGACATTTTTCTTGATATATCCATGCACATTAAGAACACAGCTTTGATACGCTTAAAAAAGCATATTTCATATGAAATTGTTAAAGAAATAAACAATTTATATAAAAATTGCACTTATGGGCAGTTTAGATATATAATTTATATATAACATATATACAAATCCATAGACAAAGTGCAATAACTACAATGTTGTAGAAAATTACAGCAGAAATACTGACTTTTTGAAGGATAATAAGAATTCTTCTAAATGTTGTATTTTTATAATTTGATTGATTTTTTTTACTATTTCATTAATCTTTTATGAATAATAATTATTTTTAATATATGTGCTATTAAAATTTCAAATTTTGACTAATATATCTAAGTTATCTGAACGAAACATTTAGAAAATATCATACTTACATTGAAATAGCAAGTAGAGCATATTAATAGCAAGTTTCTTGGCTTTATATCTATCATCTATTGTTGTTTGATCAAACAAAATTCACTCTATTATATGGTGTCAATTAATTAAAACAATTTTTAATAGTTATTTATTTAGTGCGAATAAGTGCAAACTCATAAATGAATAACTTAATAGTAGAAATGAATTATCTGATATAAATCTCACATTTTGTCCATCAGAAATACTTTAATTGCATACGCATAACTATTAGTAATACGTCTGGAGTGTCAATTAATAACAATCCCACAACAAGTAAAATTCAGATTTTTATTAAACTTATTTTTTCCTAAAAGTTTTCTCAAATTACTATATATACATATGTGGATAAAATAATAGTAATATTGTAAAAAATTAGATAATTTTTTTTATTTGAGAACCTCTCAAAAGTTCATTCAATTTATCAATTGTTTCAGTTTGATGTATATTCATTTCTGGAGCCTAAAACTTTAGCAATCATGACAATATCATATTCTCTTTCTAACTACGCAATGTAAGGGTATCCTTAATTTTTATTTCTGCCATGTAAGGGTCCACTGTAAAAATTGAAAGTCTCTCAAAATTGAGAGGCGATTTGCAAATAATCGTTATCGTCTTTTTTCGAAAATCCACTTTTCCTAGTGTTCTGATTAATATTTTGTGAATGTAACAATGAAGTATATGTTTTAATAAGATGATAATATATTCTATCACTTCAAATCACATAAAAATTGCAAAATCAGCGAGTTTTATAAGAACATGATTTTTTCCTATTTTTTTTTGCTTCTGGATGCATGTTTTGAAAAATAGATATTTTCGAATTTTGATTTTATTATAAGTATGAATTTTATATTAGGAATTTTTTGACCTATTTCCAATCATTAATTCCTAAGTTTTTCTAGGAATTAAATTGAGAAGAAATTAGGAAATTCGCTTTAATGCCATTACATACTAATATTGTGATGCATGTAGTTTATATTTAAAGAGGCTAATGTCGGAATATCGTGCATTTTATAAAAAATTCAAAGAATTGACAATTGGATAGCACAAATTTAATTCTCCAGACAAAGTATTATTGTTTAAAAAAAAAAAAGGTATTGGGGCTTCCAGGCACTTCGTGCCCTCTAGCCCCGAAGATGTTTAGTATAAAACCGCTTTTTAACTTCACTTAAAATGCCACGTAAGCTACGTAAGAATATACGTAAGAGGAAGAGAGCATTGAAACATCCAATAGTAAGACTGACACCACAACAACAGTTGCAACAACAAATGCTGAATGACCCCACTATGTTGCAACAAATGTCAAGCAATCCTATGCTTTTAAACCGAGTTGTTGGTGCACAGAGTGGAGGTTTAAGAGCGGCACTTTTAGCGAAAATGGCAGGCTATGGTGGAGCTGCAGACGGAACAGCCTATAACCCTCAAAGTCAAATGAATTTGAGTTCACTCAAAAATCAAATAGCAGATGTCAAAAAGTCAAACATAGACATACAGAAGCAAATAGGTGAAAACGAAAAGAAACTAGAATATGACAGACACACAAAGAAACTCAATGAGTTAAACGTAGAGAAAAAGAAGAAAGAAGAACAACTGAAAGAACTAAGTACAGGACAATATGCGAAAAAAGTGTCAGAAAAAGCAGCAGAAGTAGCAAAAATGGAACAAGATGTCATAAATTTGAAAAACCATACTACTCGATATAAAGTACTGAAAGATGAAGAGATAAAACAAAAAGCCCTGAAGACATATATGGATAGCGATGAGTATAAAAAGGAGTTGAAGCAAATGTAAAGGCAGAAAAACTTTTACAGTTGCAAAACCAAACCGTACAGTATGAAAACTTAGCACAAGAAAGTAAAAATAACGACGCAGCCATGCAAAAGGCAATGAAAAGCGCGAATATATAAAAGCTAACAATGACTGGTTAGATGCCCAAGCCAACGCTAAAGCAGCCCAGCTTATAGGGTCAATAAGGACAAAATACAAGCGGATGAAGACAGTTCAAATGAAGCTTTAACGAATGCTGACTTTAAGAACGCCTTCGAAGCTCTTCATAGTAAGGTGAAACAAGTGAACGATTTCTCATCTGGAAAGAAACTGAAGTCTGAAGGTTTCGACAAAGAGTTAAAAGAAGTAGCACAAAATATGACGAAAATAACAGATGCAGCAACGAGACAGGCAGTTCAAAGTGCCTATGACGCCGTTAGAGCAACTGTTGTGAAAAGTCAAGAAAAAGAGTTACAACAGACCAAAACAGACCTAGTAAATGCTTTCTTAAAAACGAAAAGTCAGGTAGGACATTACGCTGCAGATGGAACATATGTGCCAGCTGGTGGAACTTATGTACCAGCTGGTGGAACTTATATACTAGCTAGTGGAACTTATATACCACCAAACCCTCCAAGAGAAGCACCTGCACCAGGACTACCTAACACATTTACATCGTCACATGGACACAGACACAGGCATGCACCAAAACCAACACAACAACAACAACAACAACCACCTCCACAACCAACAGTTCAAAACCCTGCACAACAACCACCTCCACAACCAGCACAACAACCAACAGTTCAAAACCCTGCACAACAACAACCACAAACAGAGCAAGGACATAAAAGAAGTAGAGAACAAGGAAACCAAGAATTCTTAAAAATGCTTAAAGAAGACTATGGTTACCCAGATAGTATTGACTTTAGTGACAGATATAAAGAAGCTATTAGAAAGTTCAAGGATGGAAATACTGACCCGAACCTATTTAGCTTTATGGCTCTGCACCAAAGGGGATATAATCTCAAACCTGGAAAATACAAGCTCGCTAAGGGATATGATTTAATAGCATATCATCCAAATGACATGAACGAATTTACTCCGAGATATTTGATGTCAGAGCTAAATGACAATTTAACTCTCTTCATGAAACGCGTAAAAAATAGAGACGGAACGAAAGAAGAAAGGTTTATGAGTCCGGATGACTTAGAAAGGGAACTTGTTGAAAACGGTCTCGGAATATATGAAATGCCAGCAGATGAGGTACAAGAAACTCCACAGGAAGAAGTTCAGATACAACCAGACATGGAAGAAATAGTTCAGCAACAACAGCTAGAAGAGCCTGAAGGAAACGAACAAGTCCTTCCTTTGGAAACTAACTTCACAGAACTAGATGAAGATTTGGAACAGCCGAAAAATCTTGACCCTCAACAAGAGTATGCGGAGAATATGGAATATTTCCAAGAGTCTAAAAAAAAATTCGGCTGACATAGTAGAAGAATATCGAAAAATGTTTGCCGACATACAAAAGACTCCAACACCAGATGAAAATATTCAGCATAGAATGGAAGTACTGAAAGAAAATGTACACAAATACAACAACCCTTTTTACTTACGAGCATTTAACGTTCAATCTTGGATGAACTCGGTGAAAATAAAAGGTTAAATTTCAAAAACATATAGAAATGAAACATTGTTTAAAGTTCATTCAGAACCTAACCAAGATGGAAACAAACCTACTTTTGTTTCTGCAGACGATGGAACTACAATGAGATGGGGTCATAAAGCTAACCCGGATAGGTGGTTCATAAACTTACAACCACAATTCCAAGAAGTTGTAGACGCAATGGAAGTCAATGGTGAACCAGATATAGCTGGTATTTTAAGCGCGGCTTTAATGCCATTGAAAGATATGAAACATGCAGATATTTTGGACCAGTATGAAATGAACATGGCTGATGGAAATATAACACCTGACGTTCTAGAACATTTATCTCAAAGAACTACACAGAACCATAGAGATGGTATATTTGGTGAAGAGTTTAGAAAGAAAGTTAGGGAGGGAGAGGAAGAGAACCTATTGTACATGACCTTGCAAATGAAAGTTTACAAAATGTCATAAAAACTTACTTTGCAGACAATGAACTGAGAAGGGATGAATATTTAAGAAAACTCAAATGGACAGTACCAAATGAAATGTTAGTATTGAAAAACATGTTCCTTGACAAAATAAAACCAACTACAGAAATAAACGACGCAAGACTGAAAGATTGGGTAAAAGCTTTCCCATTCACAAAAGATATAGTTGGTAACATGGAAAGAAAACCAGAATGGCTACAAAAACATATATTTGGAAACGAGCTTATTCCATATGGACAGCACTGTTTGAAGAGCTTGAACCGGAAACTCAGGAAGAGTCATGCAAACAATACGCGAAGACTCAAATACAAACTATGACAAACTCTTTCTAGGATATAGGTTACCTGAGATGGGCGACCAGAGCCCAAAGGCAAAAAGGACATGGGAAATTTGCAACATACTAGGTGAACATGAGGCAAAGATGCAACAACTTGAAGCAGAGGGCAAGTTACCAAAGCGACACCAAAGAAGAAGAGTAGAACAAAGTGAAAGTAGTGAAGAAGTAACTTCATCTAGTGAAAGTAGTGGCAATGAAGGAAAAAGAAGAGTTAAAAACTCAGTCAGGAAGAAAGTAAAGCTTGGTCCACGTGGGTTCTATTATGACATATAAATCCAACTATTCTATATTTTTACCCATATGAAATGTACGCCGCTCAGAATATAACGCCAACAGTTTTGGATGCCATGAATGGAAATGTTTCCGAATGGTATAACGAATGCGACAATGCCATTAGAAGGTCAGAAATAGTTCCTGGAACTTACGAATATACAACTGCTGTTTCTTATGGAAACGTAGGTGAGTTTGGAGAAGGTTCTTCAACAACAGTAGATATTGCTTGCGACAGGTTTCATATAATTTCTATTGACAACTCTTTCTTATACGTGGAACAAGACATTGAAATAAAACCTTCTGCCAAGTTGTCTGACAAGAAAGGTTGCAATGGAATTTTCTATGTCGGATACCAATATGCTCCAAAGTTTTCATGGGATATAAGATATATTCTAACTCTGACTTAGTTCAACAGTAACATGGGCAAACTATGAATGGTTCGCTTTGAGAAACTCAGTACAACCACAAGCTAGAGAACAAACAGACCAGTATGCAACTATTGAGAAAATAAGAAGACTTGACCCTAACGTTCCAGGAGTTTATGTTGACCTTTCTGGACAAACTGCAGCAGCAGTAACCAAAGTAAAACTGAAACTTAGAGTTCCTTTGTCATCTTTCTCATCTTCAGGTTTTTAAGATACTTGCCAAACTGGCAGGAAAAATTTCTATCGAACTTACTCCAAGCAAAAATAACTTAGTCATTGCACCAACACAAGACCCATTCACTCTTACAGAGTAGAGGAACAAATAAAACGTCATTCGCCGACTTTTGCAAAGACAAAGTTGACTTAGACTTTGGTTTCTCAAACCTCAACACTGAAGTAAACTATTATTTCAATGCTGCTGGAACTGCTTGGGACCCAGTTAAGTTCACATGCGAAAAATTTGAAATGCAAGAGAATAGAAAGCAGACTTGCAGTCTATATTTGGACCCAGATATTTCAAATGCTTTAGCTGCCAAATATATTGCAGTTCCACTTATGTTCCCTATACACCAAATATCTGTCAAAAGACTTTGCAGGTGAAGTTGGAAACCAAAGTGCTGACCCAGGTGCAAGAACAGATATTGCTTTAACAACTGCAATGAAACATGCAGATACTATGTTACTGTTCAGACGAACTATAAATGACTATTCTTGTTTCTACAAACCCTGGTATTAAATATCATATAAACATAGATGGCAAATATTATCCAAGAGAAGAATATTCTAGCAGTTGAGGATATGAGGTCATACAACTTGACATTAGATGCTATGAACTTTAACAAACAACTTCACAACAACCATTAACCCTGAAATGCAAAGTTCTATTATGCCATATGTGAAAGTATGGACTCATGCAGGAGGTCAAAAAACTCAATATACAAATGGAGACCGTTCAAACTTTTGCTTGGCATTCCATTTGCTGACTCAGAAGACTTTATGGGTGGTATTTCAATGTTGGTACAGTTCAAATACAATATACTGGTGACAGAGACGGTCCAGATGAATTGAAAGCAAAGAAGTTTACAAAACAATAGCACTTTTCACGGAAGATGCTTTTTGAGATTCGTTCGATGAAACCTGCTGGGGCTCCTCAGATTGGTATAACGACAGCTTCCATCGAGCAGATTTTGGCAGCAGGTCAGTAAGTTGTTCTTGAACTGACTTCTCTCCGTCAAATATTGACAGTACGCCAGTTTTGATATAATATTGTATTAAAAACTTACCTTTAGAAATATCTGTAAGTTTTGTTGTTATATTTTTGTCTGCTTCAAGAACTTTCACCATTTCAGTTATACCAACTTTCTTTGCTTTATGAAAATATTTTGGTTCAGCAAAGACTGCTATTCTATAACATTTTCCATTGTTTGTGTAAAGAACTACTCTGTCAATGAACTTGTATTGTTTGTGTGTGTAAACTTTGTTTTGCTTCAATTCGAAGAGATACTCAAATACGTCCATCTTTTTATTCTAAGTAAAATGTCATTTCCGAAAAATAGAAGCGTAAGTGTTTCAAAAGGTTTAATGGCGATGGCAGATGTGAAGTTAAATTCACCAACTCAAACAAACAGTCAAAGTGTTGTTGTCAATGTCAAAGACAGAGATGTTGAAGTGGGGAAACCATACGAAGACGAAGATGGTATAACAATAGTTCCTGTAAAAGAACAACCAACATACCCTGAAGTTAGCAGAGACTTAAGTTCTGTTGCAGATATTCGAAACGACTACCAACAACTTAAAGACAAACTTAAAACTCAGGAGAAGATTTGTCAAGCTTTAGGTATAATGTTAAACTTGGTCGAACACAACCCTGTAAAAGTGAACTCATATGTCATTGCACCTCATGAAGTTTTGAAAGAACTATTGAAACTTTTGACAGAGGCAGACGATATAAACATCAAAGAAATAGAACCCGACATTGCTTGCTGTGGTGTTTCATATAATGTCATTGACAAGATATACGTTATGAAAGGAGGTGAAACGTTGAACTTAAAATATAGTTTCCCAGACGTCATAAAAATATTTGACGACCACAACATTTCATTAAAATTTTGCTAAGTAAAAATGTCAAAACTTCTTGAAAGATGTTTGAAGAAAAACAATATAGACTTTATTTCATGTAAAGGACTTTACACACTTTTGAACGATATGAAAGACCCTGTTTTGTTTGTTCGTGTAGACAAAGGAAAGTTCTATGTCTTTACAAAATATTTGAACTTCTTAGACAGAGAACTTCAAGAAACGCCATGTGAAAGTTTAGATGAAGTTCTTCTCCACTTTCAGAAAAACTTTTAAATATATGTAAATGGCAGAAGACATAGTGGTTTATACTATTACGACTAAAAACCCTGAGTCATATAATTCTATAACAACAAACTTACAAAGTCCTCAAGGACGATATTGTAAACTGACCTTAAACACGATGACGACTAAAGCCTGTTTTGCTCTTTTGACACCAGAAGACTTTGTTGTTGTGAATGGTAAAAAATACTCCTTTGAAGATACTTACTCAGATATACCACCAACAGGTTTTGTTGACTTATTTAATACTTTAAGGACGGATGTAACATGTGCTGCAACTAGAGCAGGTTTCATTATGTTTGGATGTCCGACTGAGTTTAGTATAAACGATATGAGCTATAATACAAAACTTATATCTGGTTTTTACTACCAACAGTTTCCTATAACAGGAAAAGGTGTCATACAAGGTCTATGTTCCATTGACTTTAAGTACACCTATTTTATATATTGTTTCAAACTTAGGTTCAAAGTGCTATTCGAATGTCGACAGAAACTACTATGACCAAAAGATACTCATGCGTATAAACAACACTTTCTCTGCTGGTTTGCCTATTGTTCATTCGAATGCAGAGTTTTCAGCTTTAGTAAACTCAAACACTTTAGCAAACATAAACTTAACCTTAGTTGACGCAAACTTTGTTCCTGTAAAACTTTTATGTCCTATGTATTTGTCAATGACGGCAGAAAGTTTCGAATTGGAAGATGCAACTGGTGAAGAGTATGTACTACAAGAACAACTTCAACAACAAATAGCTCAAGAAACAACAAATGCAACAAATAGCTCAAGAACAACAAATAGCTCAAGAATAAAAAAATATTTTTTTTTTATTTTATAAAAATGTACAGAATAGACGTTTCAGATTTTTATGACTTCCAAGCGTTCAGAAATATGTGTCCATTTCGAGACTATAACAAAGCAGTCGAGAATTTGAAACGTTTAGTCATTTATGTCGACTCTGCCCCAGAATGTTATGTCATGAAAGAATGGGATGTTGTCTTTAACAAACCTAAAGCGACAATAGTTTCAGAACAAGAATGTAAACAGAAACTTAAGAAAATAAAAGTCGTACAAGTTGGTATGAAGATGTTAGATGCTTGGGATATCTTATTGTCAAAACTTGAAGATTTTTCAGTTCGTGGTATAAAGTTCTATACACCATCTCCAAACTTCTATTCTATCTTCACTGGATATAAATACGAACAAGTAGAATGGAAAGAAAATGTTATAGAAGCTTGGTTAGACCATGTCAAAGAAATTATATGCAATGGAAACGAAAGAGTCTATGAGTATATCTTATGTTGGTTTGCAAACATCTTACAACATCCAAGTGCTAAAAATGAAACTGCTCTCATCATAATTGGAAAACAAGGAACAGGTAAGAACACTTTCTTTACAGATATCTTATGCAAACTGTTAGAGGGCTATTCGAACCCGAATATGACAAACTTAGAAAACATCTGCGGTAAATTTAACTCTTCAATAGAGAATATGAAACTTATAGTATGTAACGAACTTCAAAGTATAGATACAACAAAGGTTTTAAACTCAGATGCTTTGAAGAGTCTTATAACAGACAAAGTTGGAGTTGTTGAAAGAAAGTATAGAGACCAAAGAGTTTGTGAAAATGTTGCAAACTTCGTCATGGTTTCAAACAATGCCGTTCCGATGAAGTTAGAAAGTTCTGACAGAAGATATGTAGTTGTCAGAACGTCAGAAGCTCATATGCAAGATACAGAATATTTTGACGACTTAGCAGAAACTTTAACACCTGACTTTTACAACCACTTGTTCTCATATTTCATGACATTAGATATTTCTAAGTTCAATCCAAGACAAATTCCACATACCGAAGAGAGACAAACATTGTTAGAAGCAAACAAGAGTGTATATGAACTGTTCATAGATGAAACTGACTTTGAGTGTTTAGATGAAAGGTCATTGTACGATTCGTATAAACAGTATTGTCAAGAATATGGTTATATGACAGCGTCTAAACGAACATTCTTGGCAAATGTCAAAAGTCTTTTAGACATACAGAATGGTGTATATACAAAGAAAAATTTTTCTGAGTAAATTTTAAAAAAAAATATTTTTTTTATCCGATAGAAAAGATGACAAAATTCATCTCAGTCAACAAGTACATGTCAGGACTTAAAGAAGAACTAGACCCATTCACATATTTGAATGTTTACTTCTACCATTTTGAAAAGTCTACATTTGACAAAGTTTGGAACATCGAACCAGTTAAGTTTGCTATTGTGACTAAAAATGGTGCGAAATTTGAAGACTTAGACATAGAAGGTTTGTTAACAGTCAAAGAAAGTTTTGACAGAAGGTTTTCAAACCTTAAAGAAGGCAAAGCATACAAACTTGTTATACCTTATGAACCAAAGAAAGCAGACGACTATGAATATTATGAGTCTAAGATAGTTGAAGTTCAAGGTAAATTGGGTAAAAAGATTTTAGAGTCTAAGCCAGTGTTTGCTCCTAAAGAGGAAGAGAACATTGACATTGACCCAGAAATGTTCTAAAAATAAAATTTTATTTTTACATGTCAAATTTCTTTTTCTCTGGCTCAGGTTCTTTCTTCTCTTCTTCTACTTTCTTTTCTTTCTTTTCTCTCTCTTCTTTTCTGGTGGAGTTATGTCAAACTTCTCAGAACCATATTTTTGTAAAAGTTCTTTGTCATTTAATAGCTCTTCTATTCTGTTTTCTATTTCATTTTCAAGAACAGCGCATGTGTCTTCTTTGCATTCTAAGAAGTTTTGTTGGACTTCATCTCTCCAAGAGGCGTCATCTCTGTCAACAAGTCTGTCATTGACAAATTTTAAGACTTCTCTGCTTAAGGTTTTATGGTTCTTGTCATATTCCCAGAAACAGAACTTTAGAACAAATTCACCTTTCTTGTTTACACTATGTAAGATTTTATGGTCGACAGATGTTTTGCTGTCGAAAAGCTTGTCTCGAATATAGATAGCGAAATCGCTAGACATTTTCTAAAAGATAAAAATTTTAATTTTTCTAAAAATATGTTAGAAAAAAAGTTTGCTGACATTGACAAGAAATTTGAGAATGTTTTAAACAAGAACAAGAGGAAGTTGGAAAATGCTCAGATAAAACCCATACATGACAAGTTCTTATTTGCTCAGAATGGTATAACAGGTCTAATTGCACCACCTGGGTCGGGTAAGACTTTCACTTATCTTAAAATGGCTGCACAACAACAAGAACTAGATGAGAAGAACCCATTCTATGAGTTAGTAGTCATTTGTAGTACTTCTGGTCAATTTGACCAAACCGTCAATTCGTTCAAAGATATTATTAAAAAGTCTAAGTTAGTATGTATAAAAGACTCTGAGTTGTTAGATTGGATAAAGAAGTACCAAAGAAGAGTTTTGAAGTACAATGCTATAAATGAGTATGTCAATTCGAGTTTAAAGACCCAAATGAGGAAATGCAGAGAATATTAGAGAAGAAACACTTCAGAAACAAACAGAAAGAGATTGAGTACCTTTCGAAGAAATTGCAATCTTACGATTGGAAGACTTACCCTCACAGATGTCTTCTTATCTTAGATGACTTTGCTTCTCATCCTTTGTTAAAGAACAGAGAACAAGACATGTGTCGAATTCTTAAGAAGCTCAGACACTTTAACATCTCAGTTGTCATTTGTGTACAGACAGCCAAGAGTTTAAGTAAGGATGTAAAGAGAATACTTACTGATATCATACTTTTCCCCGGATTGTCCGAAGACGATTTCATGGAACTTATGAAAGAGTCCATGGCAGGTAAGTTTGACAGACATGAACTATGGGAGAAGTACAAAGTCATACAAGACCCTCATACTTCTTTCAGAATTCACATCTACGCAAACAAAGTTCAAATTGTAAAAAGTCAAGCGTAAAAAATGTAAGTGTTTGAGTCTTAGTCTGTTGTGGTGCTGGGGCTGTCGGTTCTTCTGGCTTTGGAATGGACTCGGTTGGTGGTACGTCGGACATTCGTTTGTGTCCTGTCGGAAGGAAGAGTTCTTCCAGTTGGAAGGAAAAACTTTTCCTGTCTTTTCCTGTCGGAAAGAAAAATTTTTCCTGTCGGAAAGAAAAATTTTTCCTGTCGGAAAGAAAAATTTTTCCTGAAGGTCGGCCAAAAAGTTCTCAATTTTCGAAAATTTGAATGGTTTACGACGGACAACTGGAAAATTTTTTCCTGTTGGAAGGAAAATTTTTTCCTGTTGGAAGGAAAAACTTTTCCTGTTGGAAGGAAATTTTTTTCCTGTTGGAAGGAAAAACTTTTCCTGTCGGATGGAAGGACTCGGAATGCCAGAAGGACTCGGACAAGACAATTTACCTTATAGAGCTACCTGAGCCATCTTTGGTGTCAAGCTTGAAAAATAAATGGTTCATTTACTCTTCTTCTTTGAAGTTGTCAAAATACTCTGTTATCTTTTCCTTCAGTAGCGGTAAATCTTCTTTGAATGTAAGTATTGTACAACCTTTCATATCATAGTGTGAGGTAACGTATCTTGAACTATCTGTTTAACATCTTCATTCGGTGTCATTGAAATCGGTAAGTTTTCGCGATAGAACCAATTTCTGTCAGATTTGTAAATCTTAGCAAGGTCGTAAAAGCTTTTGTTGTTTCTTCTGACTAAATGCAACATAACCATATCTCTGTCTTCTTCATTTTCCATCTCTTCAGTGTAAATCATATACTTATAGTTCTTTTCCTTTCCTTTTGGTACCGAACGTGGTATTCTTTTCTGAAGGCTTTTGTCTTTTGCTTCAAGCTTGTTCTCTAGCTCTTCACGTTCTTGTCTATGAATTTCATCTAACATCATGAAAATATAACAAGCATAGCGAGGTGAAGCCCACATTGCAACAGCATTTACAAGAAGTCTATGTACATACCAACCTCTCAAACCATTTGGCAAATTTTGACGATTTTCGTACGGAATCTCGACCCGCGGTTTTCCGAGGGTAGCAAACATATGAGGAAATTCTTCTAAAAGTTCTTTTGTCTGTTGGTTTTCAAACCAATGGTATGCTTGCTTTGTAGAACGAAGAGCATTCAAAATACTTTGCATTTGGTACATGTCATCTTTGACCGAACGAATGAGACGGAGTTGTTTGTTAAACTGTATGTACTCGTATTCTTCACTTATGGCTTCATGAACGATAGCAGTTGTTGTGTTCTCTGTTGTTGTCATACCTGTCTTTACATACAAAATAAAAAATAAAATAAAAATAAAATTAGCGTTAATTTCTGGCTTTCACAAAAGACCAAAAATAAACGCTTTACATGTATTTTTCAGCAACTTCGTCAAATAATTTTATAGCTTTGTCGATCTCATCTACTTCAAACGTTTCTTTACCTCTCGTGGGAGCACCATACATTTTCTCAAACTTTTCAAGTAGTTCTGTTTCAGCAGCTCTCATATCGTTAACGAACACAACCTTGACTCTATTGACTATACTGTCATATCTTTGAGTTATATTATATGTTCTTCCTATCTTATATCTCTTTGTATTGAAGTCCTTCGGTTTCTGAACGATGTAAAGTAAGCCTTCACTGCAACGTTCTGTATCGAATGAACCATATGTTATGAAATTATATCCAACAACTGGGTCAATCCAGAACAAAACTACTGGTATAAGACTTTTGTCTATAAGATATGCTCTTGTTCCATAGAATCTTACCGATATCATAAGCTCAGGATTTCTTGTCAAAATTTTCTGAGTAGAAGCATTTCTAACCCAGTCGTGGGATGTTTTCTTTCCTTCAGATAGTGTTAAAATGTCTGACAAAGAATATTTTTTGTATTTCTTTGAGTATCTTACGTTTAAATCACCAATTCTAACCACTTTGGTGTCATTGTCTATCTTTTTAACTGTTTCAAACTCAGTGTTTGTCATTTCCTGTCTTTACATACAAAATAAAAAAAAATATTTTAAAAAAACTAACGTTAATTTTATTTTTTCTATCTTGTATAAAAGATATGATTTCAGGGATTTTTTTTACGATTTTCATGAGTTTTAGGCGACCAGGGTTTTTCTCCCACTCGCATTTTTTCACTGTTTTCATAGAGTTTTTTTCACGATTTTCGAATGGAATCTCGACCCGCGGTTTTCCGCCGGTCGCATTTTTTTACGATTTTCATGTGTTTTAGGCGACCCCTGTAAAAGTCGGGGTCGCATTTTTTCACGATTTTCATGAGTTTTAGGCGACCAGGGTTTTTCTCCCACTCGCATTTTTTTACGATTTTCGAATGAAATCTCTACCCTCGGTTTTCCGAGGGTAGCATTTTTTCACGATTTTCGTACGGAATCTCGACCCTCGGAAAACCGAGGGTCGCATTTTTTCACGATTTTCGAATGGAATCTCTACCCCGGTTTTTCTCGGGGTAGCAAACATATGAGGAAATTCATGAAATTTGGTCATTTTTTCAGCAAAAATATATTTTAGGCGAACCAGGTCCCTCGGTCCCTCGGTCAAATGAACTTCTCTGAAAAAGTGTGACAACATGACATTTTGACAACAACACAGGAAATATACTTCATCGTAAATGTTTTGTCATGAATTTCATCGTCAATGAGCGTAAATCAGACAAAAATATATTTCTACCATAAAGTTTCACAAGCGTTTTACATGGTATATGTTGTGATGGTTCATGACTTTAAACAGTTTTGTAGCTTCTATTTCTTCACGAAGGATATCAAAAGTTTTAACAATGCCGAAAGTTTCTTTGTACTTCTTCTTGACGTCAGATAGAAGGAAATCGTCAGCAGTTGGATAGTTTTTGTTCAGAAATGTCAACATGTCCATTTTATCTTCTGCTGGTTTCTCTGCTTCTTTCTTTAAGTCAGTATAGTCGTTTCTCATACGTTCTATCTCTTTGACGGAGTAGTTATATTTCTTCATTGCTGCTTTACATTTAGAACATTGTGGGTTCATTTTAGCATTGTACATTGAAACCTTACCTGCAAGTATGACTAAGGCGTAAATGGTTTTCTTTAACTCAAAAGTTGCTGGTTTTATTTGTCCGTTCCATACCTTACCTCTTCTATCTTTATCTCTTATCTGCCATACACATTTTGCAACTAACGAAACAAAGTTGTCGTAGGTCTTAAACTCCCCAGATTTATATATGTCAATGAAATATACCATATCGCAGTCTTTGTGGTTGCAATGAAATCCAAGAAACTCATAGTTTATCTTTCGTATGAACTTCTTGGTTTCTACTGAGTCAGTTGCTTTGACTTCTATTTCATCGAATTCTGGAATAGTAAGCTTTTGTTGTTGTATTTCAGGAAGTTTAGGTAGATGTTCCACCAGGTCCTGCATTTCATAAAGATACTGTTCATTTGTTTCATCTTTCGCACTACAGTCTAAATCTCCTTGGAGAAGTTCCTGCTTTATCTTCTGGATTTCTGTTTCGAAAGTATATGAAGAAGGAATGAAGCTTTTCATTTCTACTAACATTGAAGTTGGGTTCATGACTAACGAGTTTGGTGAAGTTGTTGCTGACATGTTCTTACAATAAAAATAAAAAATATTTTTTTAAAAAAACTAAAATATATTTTTGCCGAATTCAAGAGTTTTGGTTGAAAAATACGGTGGAGCCAAAAGTGGCTCGACCTCAAAACAAGCATTTCATGAAGAATATACCAACCGCCGGAATTCCGCGGGTTGCTTTTTTTATACAAAAATCATGAGTTTTGTGTGTTTTCTACGGTGGAGCCATTTTTGGCTCGACCTCAAAACAAGCATTTCGTGAAGAATATACCACCCCGCGGAATTCCGCGGGGTGCTTTTTATACAAAATTCAACGGGTGAAAGTCTTGACAAAACATTGACGATGAAAGTCTTGACAAAACATTGACGATGAAAGTCTTGACAAAACATATACGATGAAAGTCTTGACAAAACATATACGATGAAAGTCTTAACAAAACATATACGATGAAAGTCTTGACAAAACATGTACGATGAAAGTCTTGACAAAACATGTACGATGAAAGTCTTGACAAAACATATACGATGAAAGTCTTAACAAAACATTTACGATGAAAGTCTTGACAAAACAAGCATTTTGTGAAGAATATACCAACCCGCGGAATTCCGCGGGTTGCTTTTTATACAAAACATTTACGATGAAAGTCTTGACAAAACAAGCATTTCGTGAAGAATATACCAACCCGCGGAATTCCGGCAGGTGCTTTTTTATACAAAACATATACGAAGAAGTCTCAACAAAACAAGCATTTCGTGAAGAATATACCACCCCGCGGAATTCCGCGGGGTGCTTTTTATACAAAATTCAACGGGTGAAAGAATACGATGAAGAAGTCATGACAAAACATTTACGATGAAATTCATGAGAAATTAGATGATGAAATCTATTTCCTGTGTTGTTGTCAAAATGTCATGTTGTCACCATTTTCAAAAAGATGTTAGTTGACCGAGGGACCGAGGGACCGAGGGACCTGGTTCGCCTAAATATATTTTTCAATACTTTTTCAGCACTTTTCCGTAGTTGTATATGAAAGACAATTCGAGATAAAAGTCATAGTACAAAGGTATAATATGCTGCACACCGTTTGTTGTGAACCAAACTTGAAAGTCAGAGAAACTGTTACTAGGTGGTTCGTAGAATTTAGAAGCAAAGTCATAAAAGTCCTTACCAATACAAAGAAAACTGTTGTTGCTTGAACTGAAACTTGCATGAAAAATGACATTTTGAGGGTCAAACACGTTTCTATAAACTGTCAAATCTGCTGGTGGAAGTATAAATTTAAATGGACCATCTGGTGGCAATGATTCGTTCTGGTTTAGTAACCGAAGAAATTGTGCCCAAGAACGTTTGTCTACTCCCCAATATAAAAACTCTGTATCTCTTGGAGGGTTAATTTCAATCTTTTGAAATGAAACTGTGGAGTTCATCTTGTCGTATTCTAGTTTTAGATAGTATGTTCCATTTAGTAAAGAGTGGTATTTTTCTTGAAATTCCCAGTAGTATTTGTTTATTTGAGTTTGAAAGTCATTTAGAGTTTTTTCAAGACTTTCGTCTGAACGAACTGTAAAGATTTTCATTTCGTCAAATTTTTCTATTAGACCGTCAGAGCCTTTATACTGACCGTGAAAATATACTGCGAACATGAATGCATTAGTTCTATTTGAAAACAAAACTCTTCTAAATCCTATTGCCTTTGCATCTGAAGGACTTTGAAGCCAACGAATTGGATAGTCAAATCTATATGTGCGGGATGAAATTTCTTCATCTGATATAGTCCTACCAGCGTTTGTAAAGATATAGTCTAACGGTTTTGTATCTGCTACTTTTGTTCTTTGTTTTTCAACCTGAAGCATTTAATATATGTAAAAATATACTGTTTTAAAAAATGTTTTAAAATGGTATGCAATTTTTTATTTCATGCAATGTTTTATTTCTGTGCCGTCTTCAAGTATACCCCAATATTTCCTTTTCGATATTACATGAACTTCGGAAAATACCTTGTCTAGCTTAAAAAAGCCCATCTTTTCACCGACCATTCCCATTTCAATGAGTTTGTTGTATCCTTCTTCGTTCGTCATGAGTGCATCGATGTTCTCATAGTATACCTTCACTTTGGATTTGACCTCGGAGAAGAATTTGTTGTAGTTGTCAAGGACTGCTTTTGCGAACTGAGGGTAAGACCAATGTTCGACAATAGGTTTTACTGTGGTTACTAAGCCATTTTGACCTTCGGTGAACTCGTATTTCAAAACAAAAGGAGAAAACCTTTCAACAAAGTTGTCGACCTTCTCATAGTGTTTACTCTTCATCTTTTGAGGTTTCTTAATGGAATACCCCATGTCGAATTCATAAGCAATTTGAGTGTCATTGCAAGTTTGGGTTTGAACTTTTCCTAATATCATACATTTGTTGTATGACTTTTCCAACTGTATAGTTCTTTCCCGGGAACTCACCATCTTCGTTTGGAATTCCAGTCGGGATATATTGGACAAACCTCATGTACGCAGCGTTAAGGTCGACATAGTATATTTTTTCGTTTGAGTCGAACTTGTCGCATCCAATCGGCCCAGTTTGTGGAAATTCAAGCGAGTCTCTTATCTTTTGAGAAACCTCGCCTGTTATCTCATAAACACCGTCGAAGCAACCTGTTTCATATAAAACCTTCTGACCTAACTCAGAAGCTCTCCAATACAATTTGACGTCGACTGGATGTCTCAATGGAAGTTTGTTTATAGCATCTTGAAGTTCTTGCAACCTCATTGGAAGTTCTTCTGGTTCAGGTTGGTATCCGAACAATCCAACTCCTTTTGGAGCTGTGTACTTCTTTTGTGCTAGAATTTGTCCGGAACAACTTTTGGTCTTACCAACAATGAAAAGTTTGTTTCGTCTTTTGGTACAAAAGTTTCTGTCAGCTTGTCATCTGGAATTGGTTCCAACAAGCCTTTCTCGAAAAGAATGTTAACAGCTCTGACAATGTTGCACTTGCCTTTTCCGAACAATGGGTTTGTAAGACTTTCGTTCAACATGAAGTGGTTGTGGACAAGTACAATCTTCAACCATGGTAAGTCTTTGTCAACAACATAGTCGTCATGTGAAGAACCTTTAGCTGTAGGTATGTTGACTCGGATATTGACATTTGCCAACGGTGCAATCTTTGTCAATTGACTTCTGAGAATGTACCTTGTTTTCACACATGACTCAAGATACTTCATCTTCTCATCTGTAACAAACAAGTTTCCCAACGGTCTTCTCCAACAAACTCAGCGTACATTTCAAATAAAATAAAAATATACTGTTTTAAAATGGTATGCCATATAGCTTCTTGAATTTGTTAAGAAGTATTCGAACGCATTTTCCATCTGTATCTCTAGTGTTTACATAAGCATAGCCCGCCTTAGTAAAATATACTTGTAATTTCCTATAGTTTACGCCGGTATAAAAGTAGAAAGAGTCTTGTTCTTCGCTATAGTAGTAAAACTCAAACGTATGCTTACCATAGTCTGTAATTTCAATTGTTTCATCTTCTAGTTCGTCGACAAATTCGAATACATATCTCTCCAAATTTGCTTTTGTTCTTATTGTTTTCAGAACGAGTGACCCAACGCAAGTTTTCAAGTCTATTGTCGTTTCTTATACGGTTTATATGGTCTACAAAAGGTAAATTGTTAGGATTCGGTATAAAATGAGTTGCAATGACAATATGTTTAAAATAGTTTTTTCCACCCATCCTCATAGTAGTATATCCGTCATTTCGCTCACATTCGCTTAAAACTCTTTTTGTCTTTTTGTTTCTGACTTCAAATGACTCACAACAGTGAATTTCATATTTCTCATCTAACAAACAAGTTTCCCAACGGTCTTCTCCAACAAACTCAGCGTACATTTTTATAAAAATAAAAAAATGTTTTTTCTTTACTTTACATAACCACCCGCTGCCAAAAGTCTTTGACGCCAACCCATACCAGCTAATGAAGGTTGACTTTTTTTAGTCTCCAAACTAAACTTTGGTTTTGGTTTATCTTCAGTTTTTGGCTTCCCTTCTTCTATTGGTTTTTCGTCACTTTTCGGTTCATCTGACCTTACCTCACTTGCTTGAACAGTTGTGTCGTCAACATCTTCATAAATATCATATGCCATTTGTTTTTGTTTTCCTTTCAACTTTTTGTGTTTGTTGTAAAGTTTAGAATATTTCGACTCTAAGTCAATGAGATGTTCTATAATGAACTGTTGGTCAGTGAAGTAAACTTTTCCATCTGTTGTCTCGAAAGCTCCTTCAGACTTCAATATTTTATTTGTGAGAGTCTGTTTCTTTTTTGAGATACTAGCCGTTCCATTTTTATGAAAAGTGACTTTGTAGTTAGGGTTTGTATTTCCAGACCTCACACTTTCTATTATTGAATTTTTCTCTTCATCTGTAAGTTCTTTGACAGGTTTTGACAACGGTTCTGAACTTTTTGTTTGTGGTGTCAAATCTACCGTTCAACTTCTTCGGTCATTTCATCTCAGTAAAAAATTTTAGTTTGGTTTGTTTTCAACTGGTTGTTTAGGTTTTTTAAGTCGGTCTAAAACTTCCTGAGGTATAGGAAGAACTTGACAAACACGTGGTTGTGTAACTGCTGGAAGCCGACAAAGCCATCTTGAACCCATTTGTCTCAATGCTGTATTGTTCATTTCATCTCAGTAAAAAAATTTACATTCCCACGTTTGAGGTGGTTGAGGTTGGTTGTTGTTTACCACTGTTGTGCATGGTTATATCCTCTGTTAAAGAATCTTTCACTTGGTCCATATAGTGCCTGCTTGGTTATAGTAGTCATTTGCTTTGTTATAG